TAAAACTCACGCTGGGCGCATGTGCATGCGTGCCCAAGATCCCGAGAGGAGAATGGAGAAGGGATTGCGGCATGGCCACCCCCCCTCCCCGGGGGGTGATTTTCTCACTGTCTCTCTGTCTCTCTCTGTCTGTCTGGCAAGTGCAAACGCCCTACTAGCCAAAAACAAAACAAACAAACAAAAAAACTCTCAAAAAAAAAATTTCAATCAGATGGTGTCAACCCTCTGCTCAAAATTCTCTAGTGCTTTCTAACCTCACCCAATCAGGGCCAAAGTCCTTGACAGCTGGCCTATGGAGACTGACATGAACAGCCAGCCCTTCCCCCGCCCCCTTATCTCTCCCATCTCATTTATGTTCCTTGCTCCTTCCCCTCTAGCTACACTGGTCTTCTTGCCAATCCTCTAACTCAGGGATCAGCAAACTTTTTCTGACAGTCCATATTTACTTTCATTCATCTTTTTGGGCCATATGTTCTTTCGTGGTGACTCAGCTCTGCTGTGGTACTGCAAAAGCAGTCACACAAAAGCAATGAGCATGAGCCAGGAAGTTTACATCCAGTCACAGGCCAAAGGCTGCAATTGGCTGTAGTCTGCCGATCCCTGCTCTAACTCAGCAGTCATGCATCTGCCTCCATCCCCTGCACCTGCTGCTCCTGACACACATGGCTCTCTCCATCACCTCCTTCAGTCCTTGCTCAAATACCACCATCTCAGGATCCCCTGCCCAAGTCATACCAGCACTGCCACCCTGTTATCCTCCTCTGCTGACTTGTTTTTCTCTTTTGCTCTGCACACTTTCTAATATATATTTATTTTGGTTATTATCTATCTCCCCCAACTCCCACTAAGAAGAAAATAAATTTTGTAAGGGCAGAAATTTTTGTGTTTTGCTTTACTGTTGCATTTCCAACTGGCACTCGATGAATATTGACTGAATAAATTAAGTTTATTACAAAATTTAGAAAAAGAACCATTTTGGGACCAGCAATTGGCGTAATGGCTATGTCGCTGGACTCCCATGTAGGCAACCACGGTTTGAGTCCCGGACCCGGTGGCTTAAACTCGCATAGGATGCATGTGCGTGCATGCCCAAGATCCCGAGAGGAGAATGTAGGAGAAGGGATTGCGGCATGGTCATCCCCCCTGGGGGGTGATTTCTCGCTTTCTAACTCCCTGTCTTTCTGCCGAGCGCACGAGCCCTTTAGCAAAAACCTCTCCAAAAAAAAAAGGAAAAAAAAAAAAAAAAGAACCATTTCAAAAACTACCCGAAAGAGACCCAATAAGGGACAAAGGTTCCCAGTATCTAGAAAGCTCTAGGTCACTGGATTATGTCATAATCAATGATGTCACTGCTCAAGTTGTCCTCTGATTTAGGTAGGCCTTTCAGGCCTTGAAGTCAGCGGGATTAAGGAACTTCTGAAAGCAGTATGGCTCTTGAGAGCGTGTGGGCTCCACAGGCAGCAATCATAGGGGATGGGCCTGCCAAGAAAGTGGGTGACCAAACCTCCTCACAGACACAGGTCCTCCAGACTGCCTTCTTAAAGGATGGCCCCGCGAAGCGGGCAGTGTGGGTCCGACGAAATAGTATAGCACCAGAAGAACCTACTAAATCAACAGCGGCCAAGGACAGGCTCAAGCTAGAGGTAAGCAAAGCGGTGGTTGTGGATCTTGGCACTGGCTACTGTAAATGTGGCTTTGCTGGCCTGCCAAAGCCCACCCACATGATCTCAACGACAGTGGGCAAGCCCTACATGGAAACTGCCAAGACCGGGGATAATCGCAAAGAAACATTTGTAGGGCAGGAGCTCGTCAATCCAGAGATCCGCCTCAAGCTAGTCAATCCTCTGCGACATGGCATCATTGTGGACTGGGATACAGTGCAGGATATCTGGGAGTATCTCTTCCGTCAAGAGATGAAGATTGCCCCAGAGGAGAATGCAGTCTTGGTTTCAGACCCACCCCTGAGCCCACACACCAACAGAGAGAAGTACGCTGAAATGCTGTTTGAAACTTTCAACACCCCAGCAATGCACATCGCCTACCAGTCCCGCCTGTCCATGTACTCCTATGGAAGGACCTCTGGCCTAGTGGTGGAGGTTGGCCATGGTGTGTCCTATGTGGTCCCCATCTACGAGGGTTATCCTTTGCCCAGCATCACTGGAAGGCTAGACTACGCAGGCTCTGACCTGACAGCGTACCTGATGAGCCTGATGAACAATTCAGGGAAACACTTCACTGACGACCAGATGTCCATTGTGGAAGACATCAAGAAGAAATGCTGCTTTGTGGCCCTGGACCCCATTGAGGAGAAGAAAGTCCCTTCCAGTGAGCATACGATCCAGTACATGCTGCCTGATGGGCAGGAGATACACCTGTCCCAGGAGAGGTTCCTCTGCTCAGAGATGTTCTTCAAGCCATCTCTGATCAAGTCCATGCAGCTAGGCCTCCACACCCAGACGGTGTCCTGCCTTAACAAGTGTGACATTGCCCTCAAACGTGACCTCATGGGGAACATCCTGCTCTGCGGAGGCAGCACCATGCTCAGTGGTTTCCCTAACCGTCTACAGAAGGAGCTGAGCACCATGTGTCCCAATGATACCCCACAAGTAAACGTGCTACCTGAGAGAGACACTGCAGTGTGGACTGGTGGCTCCATCCTGGCCTCGCTGCAGGGCTTCCAACCACTGTGGGTCCACCGCTTTGAGTATGAGGAACACGGGCCTTTCTTCCTCTACAGACGGTGCTTCTGAACTAATGAGGCATGGCCACTGCGGTGGGAGAGCATCAGCTTGGTGAGCACCCATCCTCCACACAGGGAGCAGAGCCCGCATTCATTCCTGTAACATTAAATAGCCCTTGTGTTCCCCTCCATGGTGTGTGTCTCTACTTCCAGACTTAGTAAAAACAACTTCACAGATGCGGCATCTGTCTTAAAATACACGTGTGCCACAACAAAATCAGGAGTGGTAGGAGGAAGAACGAAAAAGATATGACTTACACGTTGATTGCTTAAATGCTTTTCCCTTATTCTGATATTCCCCACGGTAGGAGCTACTTTACTTGTAAAATCTGCTCGGAAGAGGCAGTGTGATGAGGATGGATCATAGAGTAAATGCTGCTGGGGCATGTGAGACACTCCCTCTCAATAAACAGCAGTAGGAAGTAGGCTCTAGTAGTTCAGTCTCCCACAAAGCTGTAGTGTACATATAACTGGAAGCACATGACCTAGTAAGATACTACAAAAATCAGCTGTCAGAAGCTCAGAAGTTGAAAAGATACACTTCATTTTTATTCTGTTTTAGTTTAAGGTGAAAAGCCGCCACTTACGTGATTACATCTGACCAAATGTTGGTGGCAATAACAGCTACATTGTTGAGAAATAATGCTTATTCCAGTATCATAAAATAATTTTAAAACATTATACTTGAGGCCATCAGATGGTGTGGAGGTTAAGGTGGCTGGATCCCACGTGGCCAACTCTGTGGTTTAAGTCTCAGACCCACCAGCTTGAAAAACACGCCAGAAATCTCAGACCCACCAGCTTGAAAAACACGCCAGGCGCGCGCATGTGTGTGTACCCTAAATCCTGAGAGGAAAAATGGAGAAGGGAATGTGGCATGGTTATCCCCACTGAGGAGTGCTTTCCTACTTTCTCCCTCTCCCCACCGTCCTCTCCAGCGAGCACACATGCCCTATGGCAAATTTATTTAAAAAATTATACTTATCTTCACATTTTTGAGGTAGAAGCCATAAAACATTCCTAATTAACAGATAAAGAATTTAAGCATGAATCAATTGTGTGACTTGTCCTTCTGAATAGAACTTGTAGCTGGGAATGAAACCCAATTTCACGTTACCATAAATGGGCTGCTGAAGAACACTACTAAAGAACAATTCTTTAAAATTTATGTTATATTGGTTAAAGCTTCATTTTTCTAATATTGAGAAGTAGAGCCAAAGTAAAATAAAAATAGAATTGCTTGGTGTCTGCTGAGGTCTGGGGCACTCACGAGCTCTCAGCAATGCTAAGGCAGATCACTCTCTTACTCTTGCCAGTTCTCAATCATCAGGCCTCAAGGAGCAAGAGGCTAAAGGATAACCAGGAACAGTCTTTTCTGTTGGAGCCCTCCCACTGACTGGAGTCAGTCATTCTAGCAGGCTCAGTTTCCACTGGGTTCTTTTGTTGATCTTTGGTGGTATAAAAAGTTCAGCATCTAAAAGTAAGAAAGGACAAGAAACTGTGACAGATACTCTCTCTTGGTAGTGGGAGCTGAGGTAGTAACTCTAGGCTAAACTGGATGACTGGGTTTTCCAGATTTAACACAACCATCAGAGCCAGAATTAAAGCAGCTATTTGCCCTTGCAAGCTCATGGCTGGAGCAAACAGTCTTGAGGTCCTGCCTTGAGAAGAGGGACTGCGATTTAACTTGGGTATATTCAGCAAGTGAATCAAAGTGGGAAAGTGTTCTCTATTTCAACTGAGGTGGTGGTGGTGGTTACATGTCTGCATACATTTATTAAAACTCATCAAACTCTGTATTATCTAAGCTGTGCATTTCACAAAATGTAAAATTTAGCTGAATTCTGAAAGAGTAAAAAAAAATGACATGCAAGTACAGTTAATGGTCAGAAGATATTTGCTGATTAAAAAAAAATTCTACTAACACACCTAATGAGTAAAAAATGCCCCTACTTTAAAAAAAAAAGTTAATGGGAGGAGGGACGAAATGGGGGCAAATTCTGACACTGTCAACTAAAACTCCTAGACACTATTTAGTTAGAACTACAGAATCGCTTATCTCACTAGAAATCATAGATATGGAAATATTTGTACATATATGGATACTCTTTCTTGGCATTATTTATAATTAAGCTTCTAGTGAAAACCTATACCTATCAGCAATACAGACATTATAAATTATTTTCAAAGAATATTTAACAATGTGAGAAAAATCCTCAAAATCATAAACACATGTAGGTACATGTTTACACATGACTAGAAATTATGAAATTTTCTTTTTCTTTGACATACTTTATAATCCAGATTTTCTCTAGTGATCACATCAGTTTTATAATTACACAGTCTTATAATTTACTGCTCCCTACCCACCCCTCAAAACAAAAAGCTATAGAGATGAGGGACCAGCAGATTGTGTAATGGTTATGTCACTGGACTGCCGCATAGTCGACTGCAGTTCGAGTCACAGACCTGGCAGCTTAATACTCACGGTGAGTACATGTGCATGCAGGCCCAAAATCCCAAAAGGAGATTGGAAGAGAAGGGATTGCAGCATGGCCATCCCCCTGGGAGGTGATTTCTCACTTTCTGTCTCTCTGTCTCTCCAGTGAGTGCCCGTCCCCTATAGCACAAAATGTTTTAAATACAATAATTATTTAATTATTTATTCATTTATTTTAATTTGACCAGAGAGAGACAGAGAGGGCAAGTGAGAAAGTAAGTCACCAGGTCTGGGACTCGAACCATGGTCAGCCATGTGGGAGTGCCCAACACCTTAACCACAACACCACTTGCTGGTCCCTCTATAGCAAAACTCTTAACAATAAAAAACCCAAAAAGCTATACAGACGAAAGATCATTGGAGGTTTTAGTTTTATAAAAATAGCAATACTGGGAAAAGGCTACTTAAATTCATTGTCAATAGGTCCATAATTTCACAAATAGTGATTCAAGTTTGAATAAGGCATTACCTTTAAAAAAAACAAGTAATGAAAATAAAGAATTCTATCTTACTTTTAAAAATCAGGCCTTATTACAAGGATATTTGATTCTAAACTTTTAGCTAAGAATAAACACCAACTACTGGCTTTTCAAAAAAAAAAATTATTCTGACAAACTGCATTATGGCAGGAGGGCATGATAGCAGGACATTCACATTTTCATGTCTGAATTTCATAATACAAAGAGAGTCATTTTTTAATTAAAAAGAAAAATCTTTGAAAGCTTTTCAATCTCTCTGAGACCTCTCTGAATATATTTGATAGATCATTCTCATTTGAAGCACTTATTTTGTTGTAAATTGTAACTAGTCCAACTCAGCTATGATTTGAGCAGTTTTCCAATATTACTGTTTTCTTAATTGCCAGAGGGTACATATGCTCACTAGAGAGACACAGAGAGATGGGGAGAGGGAGAAAGCACCCCTCGATGGGGCGTGGTCATACCACAGTCCCTTTCCCTCCATTTTTCTCTCTCCCCTCAGGATTTTGGGCAAAGCATGCACACATACCCAGCATGTCTTTCAAGCTGTTTCCAGACATGCAGGATCTAAGACACTTATCTCTGAGCTACAGGGCTGGCCCTCCATTAATATTTCAATCCATTCTATTAAACACTACGTTTTTTGCAAGAAAATGACCCATTAAGGCACTGATCCCCATGGGAATATACTTAACTATCATTAGCTGGGGAGGGGCAGTTGAGGAATATTTGAGTTAGACTAAATTTATGACTGGCCCATCAACACTTATTCTTGAATTATGAGAACTTCCCTTTTCTTACATAAAGCTGTAACCGTTAAGGACACTGATACTACTCAATGAGGCCCCTTCAATTATTATTACAGTTGTGTGTGTGGTTTTTTTCCCCCAAAAGACTTATTTATTTATTTATTTAATTCCATTTGTTGTTATTATTTTTTAATTTGACAATAGATAGAGAGAGAGGGAAAAAAGAAAAGTGAAAAAAAGCAAGCCACCAGGTCCAGGACTCGAATCATGGTTGGCCATGTGGGAATCCAGCACCCTTCACCACCATCCCACCTGCTAGCTCCTACAGTTGTGTCTATAAGGCTCAGCTAGAAAATGGTTTTAAAGACAGGGTCTCATTGTGTCACAATCTTCTTACATTAGGCTCCCTGTGTCACTGGAATTACAGGTACCCAACAATGTACCCAACCTTTAGGTTGAACTGGCAATCAAACTCAGGCCTCCTGTGTGGTCCCAGCCTGCAGGGCACAGGGTCTTAGCAGCATGTGCTACCCTGACTGACCCCAAAAGTGCTCTCTGATGTGGGGAAACTATTTTGATTGTCTCAAAGAATGGTGGGGCTGGACCCTACCTGAAGGTCAGCATCAGGCCAACAGCGAGAAACACAGGACAGCCTACAACTGGATTGTTCAACAGTGCAAACAAAACAACGACCAAGCAGCCTCAGGTCTAAGATAAGATTTAGCAACCCAGAAGTAAGCATATAGGTTAGCATTAATAGCAAAAGCAGCTTGCCAGACTCCAGGAAGAAGGGTAACTAGGGAAAAGCAGCTACTGACTACATGTCTAAGTTTAGTTGGGATAGAAGGTAGTTGTTCAAACCTGGTAGCAACATAAGCTGTTAAACTTAATGGAATCCCCAGAGGCCACTTCGGTGTTACCAAAACTATATCTAGTACAGCACTTAAATGAAAAATTCTCCAAACACTTCCTGTCACATGCTAAAAAATGCAAAGAACATCAGTAAAAGCTGCCAGTTATTTTACAATGCATCACTGACTTTTCAGAGCTACGAGAGGCTGCTGTGCTTGACTGCTCCACCTGAAAGGCAAATGCTCAGGTGCCAAGTTGATCTTTGAAATGTTTCAAGCCAACTTTCAAGAGAAAGCATTTAGGACTTTTAAATTTTAAGGAAATGTAATCTGAGAACCATCTACCCCATGAAAACAAACTAAACGTTTTAGGCAAAACAGATAAAATGCTGATATGCTTTGAATTTGCCTTCAAATTATACTGTGAATCCTGAAAGTGATAAAAAGGTCCAGCTGCTCGGGAAGAATTATGAAAACATCCTCAAGATACAACAAATAACTGCCAATAGACAAAAATGATAGTCCGGAAGAATCTTTCAAATGTATATGTAAATGCAGATTATTAGACTGAAACTGTAACTGTCATACGCCTGCGCGGACAGGTATATTTCACCACACATACTTTTTTTAATCATACATTTAGTGTCAGGTTGAATATTTTCCACCAGACCCCCCCACCATTAGAAACATAAACCCATCTTACTAAAGAAGGAGTCTTAGAACTCAGGAAAATCGTAATCACTGTCCAATCTCCTTACACTGCTGACCTTCTCAACGCTTACGGACAGATATTCCTTCTGCTTAGTACTGTAATAATTCATAGGAAAACAATACTAACCAAGAACAGGAACTGAAGTCTTCTGTTGCTGGTAAGAGGCCATGATACTATTTGCAGTAGAATGGGGACCTAGAACCTAAGTAGAAAATAGACTGCATCAGCAAAGATTATCTTATATTTCCATGACCGAAACACCAAAAGCCAAGTCTCCACCAGTCTTTTTTATTATTGTAGGATCAAACACCATAATTTTCTTTTCCCATATGGTTTTCATTTGCCAGTTTCTCCAGTTTCAACTCAGACTTCTAACTCTGCTTTTACCTAGTAGGAACATTGAGGCAATGATGGGGCGGGGGTAGAGAAACTCTACAATGAAACATGCCTGGCCTTTGCCAAAAGAGCACGCCATTCCCTGAGGGGAGAAGGACTAGTCCAAGAGTCTACAGAATATACAGGTAACTGGTCATACTCAAAGAGTTGTGATAACAAACATTTTTATATTAAAACAAATATAAACGTACACTTATTATGAAGCAGCATGCGACCTTTGTGTATGTGTTCAAGGTAAAACACGAGACTTTGTGGAATTCCAAGCCTGCAGCAAGCCTCTAGGACTGTACCAGGCCCTCTGTTTGCTCTCATGTATCTCTATATGCATCCCCGGGTGGTTCACTCTCAGAAGAAATGCTGTAGGCTCAAGGCCCTTCCGGGTGACCCAGAGGATCCTGTACACACACCTTACCAACCAAAACAAAAACACAATTTTCCTGTCATCTTTCTTAGAAGATTCATAAAGCTGGTATCTTAGAAGTTAACGTGGGGCGGGAACCAGCAGTTAGCGTAATGGCTATGTCGCTGGACTCCGACGTAGTCGACCGCGGTTCGCGTCCCGGACCTGGTGGCTTAAAACTCATGCCGGGCGCGTGTGCGTGCGTGCCCAGGATCCTGAGAGGAGAATGGAGGAGAAGGGATTGCGGCGTGACCATACCCCCTGGGGGGTGATTTCTCGCTTTCTGTCTCTCTGTCTCTCTCTGTCTGTCTGGCGAGCGCACACGCCCCTATAGCAAAAAACCTCTCCAAAAATAAAAAAAGAAAAAGAAAAAGAAGTTAACGTGGGGCCAGCAGGTGGTGTGGTGAAGGCACCAGATCCCACACGGCTGACTCTCTGAGTCCTGGACCAAGAGGCTTGAAAAACAAGCCAGGTGCATGTATGTTCTTGCCCAAAATCCCAAGAGAAGGATTTGTGGCCACATCCCCTCTGAAGAGTGCTTTTTCACTTTCTGTCTGTCTCTGGCGAATGCATACTCCCTATAACAAACTTAAAAAAAAAAAAAAGAAAGACAGACAGAAAAAGAAAAAAGGCAAGGTCCTGATTCTTCGCTGCTTTTATTTCTATGGTTTATAAAGCACTTTTACATCCACCCTCTTATCAAACCTTCAAAATATTCCAGTGAGCCATACAGGAAAAGTATTATCTCCATTTCTATTGATAATTAAGGAACAGAGACCTAAGAAAAGCCTCTGCATCTAACCAGCGAGCTAATTACTAACCTTCTCTCTTGACTCCAGACACACCTTGTACACACCACTTGGTATCGGGGCTGGGAGCCTAGAGGAACATACTCCTTTGTCAGCTGGCTCCCTGTTGTGCTCTGCCCACAGGGAACACCAGGGGAGGGGGCAAGGCTGGAAGAAGGAGAAGTTTGCTTGCTTGTCCTTCAGTAGTGGCCGTTCATTCCAGTCTGTTATTTCTGTACTAGACCAGCCTCTTCATGTCCCCTCAGGAGTATCAGGATTAGCTGGCCAGCCCCGTCTTCTCGGAAGTTTGAGAACCAGCTGTACAGGGTTCCACATCCAGGATCCTGAATCATAATAATTTCGAACTTTCCCCTTTGGTCCTTTGGCCACTGGGAGAGAAGCTGCTTCTTACAGTATCTCAGTGCTCCTTCTCAGTATATCTGTGCCTTTTCAGTACTCTGATACTTATTTAACCACTGCACTGCACATATGAAATTTTCTCTGATAAAATAATAGCTGTGGTTTTTATTTCCTTAGTGGACCCTACCTGATATACCAGCCTTTCTGAATACAAATTGAATTCTTTCTTTTTTTTTTTTTTTTTCCTAGCAAGATTTTTGCTATAGGGTGTGTGCACTTCTGGAGAGACAGACAGAAAGTAAGAAATCACTCTCCAGGACAGATGGCTACACCACAATCCCATCTCTATTTTCCTCTTGGGATTCTGGACACCCACACACACGTGCCCTGTGTGAGTTTCAAGTCGCTTGGGTCCAAGACACAAACCACAGTCGGCCAGGTGGAAGTCCAGTGCCTTAACCATTATGCCACCTGCTGGGCCCTTAAACTGAAACTCGGACTCAAGGTGTGAGTGAGAAGCAGGTGTGTCAACAATGAACAAATGATAACACATTAGAATTCTTTTTTTTTTGGAGATGTTTTTTGCTATAGAGCATGTGCTCTCGCCAGAAAGAGAGAAGAGACAGAGACAGAGTCAGAAAGTAAGAAATCATCCCCTGGAGGGATGGCCACACTGCAATCCCTTCTCCTCCATTTTCTTCTCGGGATCTCAGGCATGCACGCACATGCACCCAGCGTGAGTTTAAGCCGCCAGGTCCAGGACTTGAACCATGGTTGACTACATGAGAGTCCAGCGACATAGCCATTACACCAACTGCTGGTCCCACACATTAGAATTCTTGATGGGACACAAAGCTGATTCTGAGTTAAACACAATTAGCAAAGCTCCTCAAAGCATAGTAGTTTAGAAGGGATAAGACAGATTTTCCATAAAAGGAAAGGGAAAACAATTGTCCGGGATCCCATTAAAGATTGAGCATCACCTGTTCCCACCTGGGAGGTGAGCTGATTGATCTTAGTCACTCCCCACACCAACCACTCCGATAGCTACTTTGTCTGGAAAGAGAACACAATAGCCCACTTAACCCACACTAAAGGTGTGCTAGTTGCTGTACAGGCAAAGAGAACATTATACAAACAGCTTAAATGCAAACCAAAGATGATTTAATAACACGTTTTGAGAATAGGAAAGTGCTTTTGCATTGACTTTTAATGTGAAAAAGATTTTAAAGGGACTATATAAACGAAATAAGCTGTAAAAACAATGAAAATGCTCACTCTCTTGAGCAAACTTACGGGTGTGGCTGGATTCTGCTGGTAGGTAAGAGTCCAGATCTCTGGAAGTGACCTTTCCATCAGCTGCAAAGTATTTTCAAAGGCCTTCTGTAATTCCCTTCCTTGCTCATCAAACTCAAAGAGGAAGAGCACTTTTAAAATATGGTACACTTCATCTAGAGAGGAGAAATTGGAGAGTGGTAAGCAGTCTTTTCAGCTCTGTTGCTAGAATTATACTGTAGCTTCTTTCTCAAGCAAAAAAACTCCCTAACATCACAGCTGCTTTCTCCCCTATTTCCTTCTATTTCCCCAAATGCTAGAGTAATCCTACAGATCTACGACAAAAAGAAAAACAGACAGACTGAGGACCAGGCTGAAGCCTGTCCAAGTCTTTATCCTGGCTGCAGTGCTAATCTCTCTCAGTGCAGTCAAGTGGTGCCAACCAGGAAGGATCCTCTGTATCAGTTGACAGGGAGCTGTTTCAGGAACGTGCACTGAAATGACCCTTCCTGCTAAAAGTTCTCATCTTTCCTTAAATATACAAAGTTGTACCTTAATTATCTGACGCTGCCTGCCTATGCTGCCCATTTACTACTTTCTGTGGTCAAGAATCACCATCGGTATTGAGAGGGTACCTTTCAATTTCTCGGTGCTCTGTACCACTTCACTCAGTGCCTCCAAGAGAGCCAGGTCCTCCAGCGGACTCCCTTCCTTGAGGCTGTGCTTCTTCCTCTCTGCTTTGCGGCGATTCTTAGATGATCTCCTGTTAGAAGTCAGACAGACATTTAAAAAGGGTGCTCTGTGTGTGAATAGACTGAAATGAGCATTACCTGTTGATCACTAACTTGCTGAGAAATCAGAAAGTCTATAGATGGGATCAGTATTTGGGCAGAAAATGGTGACATGGTATTAAAGCCTCAAATAAAAGAAAATCAGGAGAGGCAAGTCTTAAAAGTAATGTTTTTCTTAAAGCTTTATTGAAAATACTGAGGTAAGGTTAGGGTTAGGGTTTAGGGTTTAGGTTTAGGGTTACATTAGGGTTAGTGCTTGATTAGGGTTAGGTTAGGGTTTAGGGTTTAGGGTTTAGGGGTTAGGCATTAGGCTTTAGGGGTTAGGTTAGAGTCAGGGTTATGTTATGGTTAGGGGTTAGGCATTAGGGGTTACAGTTAGGGTTAGGGTTTATGGTTTAGGGTTCAGGTTCGGGTTAGGGTTAGTTAGGGTTAGGGTTTTAGAGTTAAGGTTAGGGTTAGGGATTAGGGTTTATGGTTTAGGGTTAGGGTTCGGGTTAGATTAGGTTTAAGGTTAGGTTTAGGTTAGGGTTAGGGTTTAGAGTTAGGATTAGGGTAGGGGCTAGCATTAGGGGTTAGGGTTAGGTTTGGGTTAGGGTTTGGGTTGGTCAGAGTTAGGGTTGGGTTAGGGCTACATTAGGTTAGGGTTTGGGTTAGGATTTAGGGTTAGGGTTAGGTTAGGGTAAAATAAAAAATAAAATACTGAGGTTAAATCTAATAGTTTGTATCTGATAATATGCTAGTACAATGAATTAAAGAACATCAACTTGAATTTTGTAATCAAAAACTAAAATACTAACAAAATAAAATTTAAATAGTGTGACAGAGACACTGCAGAATGTGAATAAATAGTAAGTATGAATCCCATTCTTTCCAGCCTAAGAGGTCTTTAATCGTGTCATTTGTTTTGCCTGGGACTTTCTCTCCTTGACTCTTCAAAGCTCAGCTCCAGCTGCCGTTTTTACAGTTTCTGATACAACTTCACAGCCCTCCACTCCTAAATCCTAAAACATACTCCAGTTTAAATATATATTCTTGCATAGTTTTATATCTCCCAAGCAAGACTGTAAGCTCTTAGAATGCAAATCTCCTTACGGTAATTGTTAATAGCCACTGTACTTAAAATGTGAGTAATCAATAAATACTCTGGGGAACCAGCAGTTAGCGTAATGGCTATGTCAGTGGACTCCCACGTAGTCGACCACGGTTCGTGTCCTGGACCCGGTGGCTTAAAACTCACACCGAGTAATTGTTAATAGCCACTGTACTTAAAACATGAGTAATCAATAAATACTCTGGCAAATCACTACAGTGGGTAAAAGTATAAGGATTTATTTTATATTTATGACCTCTCCCAACCTTGATTTTGAACTGAGGAAATCGGAAATCTTTTTCTTCCTAGTCATCTAATTTTTTCAGTGCCTATACATTTTATTGATCTAAAATATTTGAATAAAATCGGATGCTACAGAAATTGAGTGTCCAGTGGAAGTACCTCGTGGGCAATGGGCAAACTCACAGGCCAGGAAGACGCAGAAGAAAACACTTCAATGCCGAGTCTATAATCTCTTAGGTATGCTAGGAAAACCCTTGTACAACTTCCACATAGCCTTAAAAAATATCCTCCCTGCTCCCATTTCACTGCCTTGTAGACAACCAACTTCATAATCCCGGGGGACAGTCGATGTGCTGAGTAAGCACGGTACATACGCTGAGATCCTGGAGTTACTGTGGGAATATCTGCCACTCATCTCACTGCCACTCACAACACTGCTCGTTTCCGAAAAGAGGTCTGACTCTTGAGCATGGGGCACCTCATCATCTAGAAAAGAAGAACCAGATGCAGATGAAAACATTCCTGGCTGGGGTGAGTTTACCGTTAGTGAGATACATAGACTAAGAGTCAACTAGGACTTATCAAAGGATGAATGAAAATTATAAGTTGACCTAAAATGAGTGAGATAATATTGGTTATAGTTTACTTCCTCTGAAATGAGAAAATACATTTTGCACAAGGCAGTAGCAGTCAGCTGCTCTGGCTGGGTTGGAGTGGGTGGGGATGTTTGGGAGGGCCTTTCCCATTCATGCTTGACCCTGTCCCCAAGCCTTTTCCCAACACGCATAGTCCCTAAGGGGTTCACAGAGGTGGTAGGCTTCTCCAAGACACAGTAATCAAATCCAGAAGGAATACCAAGCAGCACAGACAACATGTGGTACTGCCACCACGCAGCACCCTCACCTGTCCTACCCCTCCAGCTCCCACCCACGAGCGCATTAATGGTCTCCATGCAGACACTCACCCAGATTCGCCTGTTGTGCTTGCTCCTTAAGCTCTCGAACCACCAGTAAACGTTGTTTATGGCGACTAAACGTGGCTGCCTGAGAATCCAGAAATGCCATATAATTTTTCTGGGCTGAGGATGTGAAAAGGTAAATAATTTGAGATGTTTAAGCAAAGAGAAAAATCTTGGTGGGTAGGAAGAAAAGTGAAGGAGGATTAGAATTCAATAACAGAAAAAAAGAGGTCACCAAGTATTTCAAACTAGATGTCTTCCTTAATGAGCATTAATGAACCTAATAATACAATTGACATTTTGGATCTAAGTTCATCATCATCATTCCAAAATACTCTGTATCACCAAACTCATAGAACCACATCAACAAAGACCTGGTAGCTAACTGAAGAGAAAGACTGGCACATAAAAGGAATGCAGGGGGAGCTGTTAACCTAAATAGGAAGAACACTACTTCTAAATTCATTAAAATGCTCAGGGATGGGAATAAACGTATGCAACTATTTCTGAGAATTACTGTCCAATCGAAAAGTAGCAAATGGTTGGCCATGTGGGAGTGTCCAGCACCTTAACCGCCATGCCACCTGCTGCCCCAAGGACAATTTTTACTTAGTCTATACAATGTATTATTAAAAGATACAATAATAGAGGGAATACTGTCCCATCTTACTCTCCTCCCATCTCTGCAACATCCAAATGAGAAAAAAAAGCAAATGCTAGTACTCACAGATATATTTTATTTTATTAATAGTTATTAGGACATTGTAAACAAATTATTAGCAATTTTTTTTTCCTTTTAATTTAGAGGGCACATCTGCTCACCAGAAAGGAAGAACTAGAAAGTGAGAAAGCACCTCCCATGGGAGATGGTCACACCACAATTCCTTCTCCATTTCTTACTTTGGGGATTTGGGGCACACACATGTGTGCCTGACATGTTTTTCAAGCCAGGACTGGAGCCGTGCAGATGGTCATTTGGGATCCAGCCACCATAACCACCATGCCACCAGCTGGTCAAATTATCAGCATTTTTCTAGGTTCTTTTAGTGGAAAAAATTCAGGTAGGAGCTGGCTAAATGACCTGTTATGGGGCCAGGAAGGACGTTTTTGGTGTTATCCAGTTAAGGTACTTGAAGTGAATGACACAGATAGTATGTTAACGTTTGTTGTTGTTTTTGACAGAAGTTTCTGCTATAGGGTATGTGCACTTACTGGAGAGACAGAGAGACAGAGACAGAAAGAGAGAAATCATCTCCTTTCTCAGGGATGGCCATGCCACAATCCTTTCTCCTCCATTCTCTTCTAAGGATTTTGGGGACACTTGTTCATGCACCCTGTGTGAGTTTCAAGCCACCAGGTCTGGAACTCGAACTGTGGACCACTACGTGGGAGTTCTGAGATGTAAACATTATGCTATCTGCTAATCCCACTCCCAACAGTTTTAATTGGGATGGGGAGACGGGAAATAGGCAAGATAACAATATGAATAAATGTAAACATCAGAAAGGCCAGACACTACTTACAGAGTAGACTTACTTAAAAATGCAGCTTGAGGCTGGCAGGTGGCGTGGTGGTCAAAGGCACTAGACTCCAACATGGCTGACTGCCGTTCAAGTCCTGGACCTGGCAGCTTGCTTTCTCGCTTTCCCTCTCTTTCTTTCTCTGTCTCTCTCGATCAAACTGGAAAATAATTATAATAAATAATGTTTAATAAAATAATTCTTTTTAAAAAATGCAGAGCTTGGGACCAGCAGTTGGTGTAATGGCTATGTCGCTGGACTCCCATGTAGTCGACCGCAGTTTGAGTCCCAGACCCGGTGGCTTAAACTCACACCAGGAGCATATGCGTGCATACCCAAGATCCAGAGAGAAGGGATTGTGTGGCCATCCCCTCAGGGGATGATTTCTCGCTCTCTGTCTCTATCTGTCTTTCTGGTGAACACATGTACCCTATAGCAAAAACCTCCCTCAAAAAAAAAAGGAAAAAAAAAAAAAGCAGAGCTTAAAATCAATCCTGACTCCCTAAGAGTTCTGAAGTCAAAATGATGTCGTTTTCCATTTTGCTTTTAAGGCGTTGCAATGAGCACCAGAGTATTCTAAACTGGTACTACTCATCTATTCTCTAAGAATAATAAACTTTATTTGAATGATTCTTTTAATTTTTAAAATTTTTATTTTGAAAAATTTCAAATCTACATAAAAGTTATAAGTTCAATGACCACAAATATACTCTTCACCTAGATTTACCAACTGTTAAATTGCCTTATTTTTTGCATCTTGCTTCTCTGTATACACACACACAAAATTATTTTTGTGGAGCCTTTTGAGAATAAGTTATAGATATGATCTTTCAACCCTAAAAATTCAGTATTTATGTCTTAAGAATAATAGATATTATCTTACTTATGTAACCACAAAGGAACTATTAAATGCAGAAAATTTACCATTGACCCAATACCATTATCTAACATATAGTTTATACTCAAGTTTACCAATTATTTCCCCAATACAAAGGTTCCTGATTGTATTTTATCACACATTTCTAATATTTATACATTTTACATGTCACTACTTAACAGTCTGCATATTAAAAACCTCTGTCAGAATTAAATATTACACCCAATGGACAATTTTTTTAAATTATTCAACTTTATTTATTCATTCATTTATTTTAATTGGATGAGAAAGAGAGAGGGAAAGTGAGAAAGCAAGCCACCAGATCCAGGACTTGAACCATGGTCGGCCATGTGGGAGTGTCCAGTGCCTTAACCACCATGCCACCTGCTGCTCCCCCATGGACAATTTTTACTTAGTCTATATAACATATTATTAAAAGATACAGTAACAGAGGGAATACCATCCCATCTTACTCTCCTCCCCATCTCTGTAACATCCAGATGAGAAATTCTATCTAAAATGTAACTCTCACCTTCTAAAATGGAAGGCTTTACATTGGTTTCTATAATATCCAGTCTGTTGTATTTGTAGATCTAGAAGAAAAAAATATAATAATTATTAGACCAAAAATCTTCTAGTCACTGCAGAACTAAGAGACCTGTGGAGAAGCTGCTTTCAGAGATGATCAGACATTTACCTGAGGAGCAGGTCTCCTACAAGGCAGCTAACGCAATTCAACTCATTTCAATAAAACAGTAATATTTCGCATCTAGAGGACTAATTCCAAATATCATCAGTGATAACTTTTTTCAAATGGCCTTAAAAACACTGCTTACCCTTTAGACAAGGAACCTAGACTATTTCTACTTCATTTCACTCACCTCAGAAGACAGAGATTCCAGCTGACCTGTTGTCCCTTGTTCCCTCTCTGCTTAGCACCAAACATAGGCAAGGTTTTAAAAATGAGGGACCAGCAGTTAGCGTAATGGCTGTGTCGCTGGACTCCCATGTAGTTGACTACGGTTCGTGTCCCGAACCCAGTGGCTTAAAACTCACGCCGGGTGCGTGTGCGTGTGTGCCCAAGATCCCAAGAGGAGAATGGAGGAGAAAAGATTGCAGCATGGCCATCCCCCCTGGGGGGTGATTTCTCGCTTTCTGTCTCTCTGTCTCTCTGTGTCTGTCTGGTGAGTGCACGCGCCCTATAGCAAAAACCTCTCCAAAAAAAAAAAAAAAAGATCCAGTAACCCCACTACCGTGTAAATACCCAAAGGAAAGGAAATCAGTATGACAAAAAGATACATGCATGCCATGCTCACTGCAATACTATTCACAGTAACTAAGGTATGGAACAACCCCAATGCTCAACAACAGGTAAAGGGATAAAGAAGGTGTGGTATGTATATACACAATGGACTATATCCAGCCATAGAAGAGAGTGAAATCCGATCATCTGAGGCAGTATGAACGAATCTGGAGGAAATAATGCTAAGTGAAGGAAGTCAGGCACTGCAGAACAATTACTATGTAGTCTCACTTTACTAGGGGAAGCTAAAAAATTCAGCCACAAAAGTAGGGCATGGAGCAGTAGATACTGAAGATAGCGTGGGGGGCAGGGAAAACATGGCCACTGGAGACAGTGTAAGCAGATGGATGGAGTGAGTCCTGGAGTGCCATAGCACAGTAAGAAAGGAGACAGCAACTCAGTGTATACTTCAAGACAGAAGAGTGGATTTCGAATGTATACAATATGGGGTTGAGGATGAGTGCTTGAGGTGGAGGATGTGTTTACTGCCTGATTTGATCAAAATGCATGGATACATAATTTGAATACACACACTATATCCCATAAATACATATAACTATTATATGTAAATTAAAATTGTAACCAAAAAAAAATTCTCTTACCAGCCTCAGAGCTTCTTCCCAAGCAGCTCCTTCTAACAGCAAAATCACAGCTTCTTCATAATCCTGGCAAACAAACAGAAAGGAAAACAATAGCTGAACGGAGCAAGTACGTGAGCAGCCACCACAACCACACTGCCCGCAGAGCTGCCTCCACCTCCCTAGCCAGCCGGATCCCTCATAGTCCCAGTTCTTACCATCATGCCTACTCTGGAGTCTGTGCACCATAAATACTGATGCAAAGGTAAGGGAAGGGTATGTATTCTGGAAACGAGAAAGCACCAATGTCCACTTCCTATACTAGATATCAAACCTACCAGAAAGGTCTGTTAGAAATGCCCTTTCCTGGCATTGCAGCCAGTGGTTAAGCTTTGTGCACTGAAGGCCAATCCCACATGGCTCATTGCAGTTCAAAGCCTAGTCCTTGTGGCATGGAAAACATGCAGGGTGGGGTACTTGTGTGTACACAAGGATCATGATGGGATGGAGAAATGGAGCAAAAAGGATTATAGCACCTTCCACTGGGGAATGTTTTCTTTCTGTCTAGTAAGCCCAGACATCCTCCAGTAATTAAAACAAAACCCCCTCCCCCCGAAAAAAAAGAAAAGAAAGGAAAAAGAAAAATATAGAAATGTCCCTTTCCTCAGCTTCATCAACAGGTTTAGTTGGGTGCCAGAATTGGTAATAAGACCACACTGAAAAAAAATGGTAAGCTAGAAGAGTAATCTTCTAAACTTTTTTCTTTATTCATGATAGAGTACAGGTACGTGTACATGTATGTGTGTGTGGGGGAGGTACCAAGGAAGGGAGGAACATTCTCCACAGAGTCTAGGCATACCATAATCCCCTTAGTCTACCCCATCAGATCTTGGGTACTTGTGCATCTACCTGGCATGTTTCAGACTGACCAAGTTAGAGATTCAAACTGTGGACACCAGGTGGAATCTGGCTTCTTAAGCAGATTATTGCTGTGCCATAGAGCAGATCCCTTCTAAACTTTTAAAAATGCTTGTTAATGTTCTTCTCCAACTTATTTAAAAAACAAAAAGCAAAAAACACAACTTCAAACCTACAGAAAACTAAGGACCAGCTTCATAGCACAGCAGTAATAGTTACTGAAGAGAAGCCAGATCCCACATGGAAACTCAGGTTGAAATCCCCATGCTGGTCCACCTGAAATACGCTGGGCATGCACACAAGTGCTCGAGACCCAACGAGCTGGAGAACTGGACAAGGGAGATCACAACCTGACCCCGGGGAGTGCACTTCCCTTTCTCTCTCCCACTCTCCTATGCACATATATGCACTCTATTAAGACAGAAAAAATTATTATTATTTTAGTTTTTGCTATAAGGTATGTGCACTCACCAGAGAAAGATAGGGAAAGTGAGAAATCACTCCTCAGGGGGGTGGCATCAACACAATCCCTTCTCTTCTAGTCTCCTCTTGGGATTATGGTCATGAGTGCACACGTGCCCAGCATGATTTTTCAAGCTACTAAGTACATGACTTGAATCACATAGCCAGTCATGTGGGGTCCAGTGCCTTAACCTCTACACCACCTGCTGGCCTGAGAGAAAGTAAAATTTTAAAGGCGAACTAAGTGAGACAGTCAGCTACGTTTCCTCAAATTGCCACTGTCTTTGGGGAGGGAGGACAGGTACTTGGATTAAAAGAGATTTAAAGGACATGAGACACAAAATGCAATCAGGGCCTTATATCTTATTAATCATGGGGAATTTATATATTAGATACAATTAATATGTGTTCACATGAAAAGACGGAGATCAAAACACAGCAAATTTAAAACCCATGCATGGAGGATAATGCTAGTGTGGTTAAAAATAAACATGCGTACACATAGACATGTTTCCAGAGAAAACTCAGCAAAGTATAATGAGGTGATAATAGTTATTGCAGTGTGTTATAATAAGGCGTTTTAATTTTTTTGTATCTGCTTTCAGCATTTTAAACAATTTACAACTTGTCCACACTATTTCAGTTATATTTTCTTTTATTGCCAGAAGGTGTTTACACTCACCAGAGACAGAGAGAGACAGAGAAGGAGAAAGCACCCCAGTGGGGCGTGATAACACAGCAATCCTTTCTACTCCATTTCTTCAGCCGGTCAGGATTTTGGGTGTACACGCACATGTGCCTGGAGTGTTTTTCAAGCCATTGGGGCTAGGATTTGAACTGCAGTTGGCCATGTGAAATCCCACTCCCTTAATCACTAGACTACAGGGGTGGCCCATTAAATTCATTATTTCTAACTAAACAGAATAAAAACATTTTTTTCCTAAACCACAATGGGACATTTTGTATATGCCTCACTAACAGTCCTAACAAGAGGTCCAAAGGGACACAGCACCAATGTGTTTTGTTCGACCTGCAGTGAGTGTGCATGTTGTATTTTATTAAGATGAGATTCATACAACATACAGTAACTATTTAAAAGTAGTACAATTACAATTAGTGATATTTAGTGTACTCTCTCTCACTGTTACGCTTTGCTTTCAAAATTTTTTCATCGCCTCACAGAAATATCTTGTATCCATTAAAAAAAAATCACTCTCCATTTCTTACTCCCTCCATCCCTCTCCTGGGAACACCTAATCTGCTTTTCGTCTCTATTCTAGATATAGCTTATAAAAGCAGTCACACGATAGGTGACCTTTTGTGTCTGGCTTATTTCACTAGCATAATGTTTTTGGAAGTGCATTCGAGTTGTAGCATGTGCCAGTTCTTTGCTCCTTTTGATGGACAAATATTCCAGTGTGTGTCTATGTGCATGTGATGTATACACACGTGTGGTGTATGCACATATATAGACACCCCACACACAGATACCGATATGTATACACACACACATACACACACACACACACAGTGAGATACATATATATGTGTATATGGACAGATGCATATGTATGTATGTATGTATCCTGCAATTTATTTACCTGTTCATCCCTTGAGAGACATTATGGTTACACAGCCACCAAAGAGAAGTTTTGCAGCTCCTTATAAACATCCACTTACCATGTGACCTAGCATTTCCACTCCTGGATATTTATCTGAGTGAAATGAAAAAAAAAAAATTGTGCCCACAAAAACTTGCACTAGAATAGCCACAGCTTATTTTTCATATTAACCTCAAACTGGAAACAACACAAATGTACATGAAACTGGTAAATGGATCTAAAAATTGTAATTTGACCATCCAGTGAAATACTGTTCACAATCAAAGGAATAAACTACTGATCCAAGCTACAATATGGATGAATCTAAAAAGCATTATGTGAGTGTAAGAAGCCAGACTAGAAAGTCTAGATACCATGTGGTTCTACTTATGTGAAATTCCAGATAAGGCAAAACATTAGTGACAGAAAACAGATCCGTTTTCAGAGGCTGGGGGTGTTGGGAAAACACTGCCTACAAACAGGGAAGTAGTCCCCCGCCTGAGGGACTAGAAATGGTGTACATCATGACCCCTGACAGGGTCTCATTAAGCCCTGAGTCCTTCCCTAGTGTTCCCAGTTGTCGGGACCTCTGGTGAACCTGGGGTCGTTGTGTGGCTCCCAGCACTACAGTTCAGTTTGCTACCGACTATGCCACGAGGCTGGACCTCTCAAGCATTATTATTATACATGATACACTGAAAGATTTTTAAAGCAGTAACATTATATAATACATTATGTATATGCCAGTGTCAGTGCAGTTTTAATGTTTTCCTAATAAATCCTCTAATTCTACCAAAAGTCATATGGGCACTTATAATCTGTTAAAACTGGAACCTTTTGAACTGCCTGGAGGAAAAGAGACATTTCCAACAGAGAGAATAAGAATAAAAAGCCAAAAGGATATCTCAACTTTATTTCATAATGATTTTTTCTCATTATTTCTACTCTGGCAAGGTTAACATACAAAGGCAGGTAGATCGTACATGGCCCTCTATGTGGCTGAATCTGAGATCTGGCAACCTGATAAGTACACTGGGCATGAGTGTGTGCGTGCCCAAAATCCTGAGAAGAGAAGAGAGAGATGGCCAGCATGGGCATCCCACTTTCTCTTTCTCGACCCCTCTCTTATTTTCTGGTGAGCACATGTACTCTATAGAAAGAACTTAAAAAAAAAAAAAGTACCCCCTGTGGGCCAGCTCTGTGGCCTAGTGGGAGCCAGATCCCACACAGCTGACCATGTGGTTCAAGCCCTGGCCCTGAAAGCTTGAAAAATACACTGGGTGCATGTGCACCTGTGTGCCAGGAATCCCAAACTACTAATCCAATCTACTGGTACATGTGAAAGCTCTTAGAATATTCTACCACACAAAGCTTAATTATTTAGAATTTATATGTCCAAGTCACGCCATCAAGATGGAAGACATTCAGGGCAAACACAGTTCTTTGCTCAGTGGATCAGGAAGGTACAACTGGAAAGTCCTTCCTTGTTGACTGGGGGCTTTGGAAGGGAGGAACTAAGTTTACCTGGGCGTACTGCTCCAAAACTACGGCCGCATCACTGTGCTTCCTCTGCTCAACCAGCTTTCCTAAAAAGACAAAGACAGTGATAGGCATTTGACAATAGAAGTTCCAGCTGAAGTGCTTCCTTAGTAAGTAGTCATTATGTATCAAACTATGTACTCTGAAAATTCCTGTGAGTGGAACAGGTATATATACTGTGGAGTCCTATTCTAAATAGCCATTGGAATATAAATTTAGCACAGGATTTGAAAATCAGTAGTCAAACTGCCTTGAAACATGCTTCCAAAGCACAAACACAGGACACGGGCCTAGTGCCTCCCACTGATTCTCTCCTTCCTCTAACAGGAAGAGATCGCAGTTTCTTTGATTGAGCACTAGATGGAGGTAGTTGGTTTATATTAGGGTCATGCAATGTCTGAGATCCTGGAATCACTCTTAACCAGCTGAGATAAATCATACTATCTGATAGGGACACAGAACTTGAGGCTTCCTAAGGGGCTGGCAGAATTGTGTCTCTTATCTCATGCACATTCCAGGGCATATTACCACCAAAAAAATAGGCTGAATCACTTTTAACTACTATATAAATAGCTTCTTTTTTTTTTTGCTAGTTTGTGTAAATTAAGTTAAATGTGTACATGAACGACTCCACTACATAACAGGTCTCAAAAATCTCTGATCACTGCCCTTCCCATTGTTTTTTTGCTAAACTTCAGAAAACTAGGTTCATTCCATGATTAGACAAGGGAAATAACAAGGTAAGAGTGGTAAAAAAAAAAAAAAATAGAAGACAACAGACACCAAGACAGAGCTAAAAGATAAAAATGACCAATAATGTGGTTCTTTTTAAAAAGAATTATTTTATTTAACTCTATTTATTTGTTTGTTTTAATTTGACCAGAGAGGGACCGAGAGAGAGAGAGAGAGAGAATGTGAGAAAACAAACTGTGAGGTCTAGGACTCAAACCCTGGTTGGCCACGTGGAAGTCCAGCACCCATAAACACTGCGCCACCTGCCGGCCCCAACCAATAATGTGTGTTTCTAAGGCAGAAGTAACAGTTGGGCTGGAATAAATCAGACCTGAAGAAAGAAATTCCCAACATGGGGTCGGCAGGTGGTATATAGTTAAGGTGCTGGACTCCCACATGGCCGAGTACAGTTCAAGTCCTGGACCTGGTGGCTTGCTCGCTTTCTCTCTCTCTCTAGTCAAAATGAATAATAATAATAATAAATAAAATAAAATAAAAAATATTTGGAGAAAATAAAAAAAGAAATTCCAACGTCTATAAAGAGTTTAGTGTGGAAACTTACAGGGATTATAGGAGAACCTATAGGTCTAAATTATAAGAAAAAGAAAACAATACACATTTTTATAATCCCAAGGAAAAAGCAGTACCATGTATAATGAAAAAAAGATATACACATAAAGTTAAAGGAATATAATTTGGAATTTTTTCAGTACTGTGTTTTTAATTTTTGAGACAACAATGTTGCAAAGACTTTTATAATGCTGGGGAAAAACATACTAGTCATTCCTTTACTACTAGCGCTGCTCAGAGGGCCAGATCCCTGCTCATCACTCCTCCCAGGTATCCTTATTCTTTCCTCCGCACTAAGAAATCGAACCATGAAGCAGAAAACTACCTTTGCTTCCAGGATGCTTACATATTTGGCCTTTTCTTCAACCTCATTCCTGGCAACTGCTATTACTGTTTCCAATGATCTCTTTTTTATACCAAAATGGCCCCAAAATATCAAATTCATCTTTACCTTCGTACCAGGCACACGGCTCCCAGCTACACTGCAGTAAGTGTGACCCCATGATGTAAGTTTGAAAGAATGGGATGGAACAATCAGCCATATGAGATCCATCTACCTTAAACACAATACCATTCTACATTAATTTTGTTAGTGTGAGATTGTCTCAAGATATGCTGCCCGGGCCAGCAGTTAGCATAATGGCTATGTTGCTGGACTCCCACGTAATTGACCACGGTTCGTGTCCCGGACCCGGTGGCTTAAAACTCACGCCGGGTGCAGGTGCGAGCGTGCCCAAGATCCTGAGAGGAGAATGGAGGAGAAGGGATTGCGGCGTGGCCATCCCCCCTGGGGGGTGACTTCTCGCTTTCTGTCTCTCTGTCTCTCTCTGTCTGTGTGGTGAGCGCACATGCCCTATGGCAAAAACCTCTCCAAAAAAGAAAAAAAGAAGATATGTTGCCCTAAATTTGTTTGCAAAATTATAAAACAAAACAAACAAAAAACCCTTTGGAGCAGACAAACAGCAACACTTACCTGCCAGAGTTCTGCTGAGGCCAGCCAGCTGGTCTCTGGTCAAGCTGAGCTGGGCTGCCATGCAGAGGGCTTGCTGCCAGCTGCCACAAGTCAGGAAGGCAGAGAGAGCTTTCTCATGGGCACCACAGCGGGCGAACACCAGCCCCGCTGGCTCATATAAGTGTTCCTGCATCAGATGTTCACCATAAGCAATGCCGATATCCTGAAACAACAGGAAACTCAGGGTTGATGAGGAATAAGATAATCATTTCTTCACAGCTGCAATGGATGCTGCCTTAGTGACTGTACTTGAAATTCTATAGAACCACTTGAGAAAATCCTATGATCGATCAGCTAGTTAAATCATTTTTTTCTGTTCAAAATCTTACTAAGGATATGTCATCTAACAAGTAATTATTGAGGACCTACATATGTACTATTATGGGCAGTGAGAAGAATATATCAATGCAAAAAATGAAACCAAACAAGCAAAAACCAAATAAGAACTGTCACCAAGAACTGTTCTTATAGCAAGAGAGATAGGACTTATCAACACAACACAGTGTACACCCTGATGGCAGGGGGATAAAGGGGCAGAGAGTGATGGCAGGGCTCTCAGAGGCTGTGATGTGAGGTTCTAGCTGTGTGAGGAGTTAGGGGATGGGATCCAGGCACAGTGCACAGAAGGTACTATAGCCATTCACAGAAATGTGTACTGCGGTCTGAGGAATAACAACAGGGCTGGCGTGACTGCTACAGGAAGCATGGGAGAGAGGAACATCTAGAAAACATTTAGAAAGGGGTAGCCATTGGCCAAATCCCAGGTTTGGTGTCAGGCAGTGACACAAAGAAGCATACAACACTGAACCACTGCCCTGAGCCTGATGGGGAGGACAAAGAAGTAAACTGGCAGTAGGATGAAAGCAAGCTCCACGGTAAGAACAGGGTGCTGCGGGAGCCCAGCGTTTGGCACCAAGTCCAGCAATGGCTTTCTGGCAGGAGACTCGAAGGCTGTGAGGGACAAATGGGACTAAAGGAAGGGGGCCTAGAGCCAGCAGGGGTGTCGCACAGCGTAACGCTTGTGGCACTATGGTAAGGATCTGGGGGTGGGCAGTGACAGAAGCTGGTACTAAAGAAGCTGGCAGGGGATAGATCAGAGAGACATGTATGGAATCTGCAGACAAAGCGAAAACGGTGGTGCAGCATGGGCGGGGAAAGGCACCGGGCTTGCTGGCCAGACGGCCTGGGTTCTAGATCCTTAGGCTCATCTGTTTCCTCATCTATAGATTGCGTTTAATTATGAAGATCATATAATACATTCAGCTAATAAGCAAACTCGCATATAAAAAAAGTTAAATAGATATTTGTTTAAATAAATACACAAAGCAAAACTTTATCCATTTAGCCTGAAACGTATCAGAAAGATCTGGACTTTTTAGGATGCATGCGGCAGTGAGGCTGGCCCAGAGGTACAGAATGGAAGCAGAGAACCCCAAGTGCAGCCGCTGAGGTACTCTGGGTAAAAAACTGGGCACAATTACTAGGCTTCTGGCCTGATCAATTTCTTCAGAGCAGGCCAAGGCCATTCTCCCAAATAAAAGTTCAAAATGAGGCCAATTCATTTTTTTTTTTGGAGAGATTTTCACTGTAGGGTGCGTTCGCTCGCCAGACAGACAGAGAGAGACATAGAGACAGAAAGCGAGAAATCACCCCCCAGGGGGATGGTCACGCCGCAATCCCTTCTCCTCCATTCTCCTCTCGGGATCTTGGGCACGCACGCACACACTCCCGGCGTGAGTTTTAAGCCACCGGGTCCGGGACACGAACCGCGGTCGACTACGTGGGAGTCCAACGACATAGCCATTACGCTAACTGCTGGTTCCCAGGCCAATTCATTTTAAGATAAGCTGAAACTGGGGAGAGTTTGAAGGACTCTCCCCCCCCCCCCTTCCAACTAAAGCAGAAAGAGAAATCAGAAAAGTGTCACTTCACACACTACACACCTTGTACTGCTGTGAGTTTGGTGGGTATAACTTCAGAGCTTCGTTATACAGACTTTTATCTCTTATTAAGTTTAAGCATTCTGGAAAGTACTCAGGTCCTGCAGGAAAAAGATCCGCACAACACAGGTTTAAGACATAGGGAGCAAAACAAATTTCATTTATACCAATGATCCCCACACAAAATCAGTGAGAGACCTTTTTAAGTCCTATATAATCGAACATCCAGAGAATGGAATCCAAGAATTTGAATGTTGGACAAGTACCACTGTGGATTCTGAGATCAAAGCAGCACTGGCTGACACCAGTGTTCTACTAAACGGAAATCTTTTTATACCATCCAGTTCAGTGTTTTCTCAACCATCCTGAGGAACTGCCTGATCCAACATAGACATGCCTCAGTTCTGCACAGATTTTCCAGGGGAAGTGGAAGCTGAGTGCATAACAAGCACCCCAGGTGATGCTTCCTTGTCAGGAAAGAATTACAACTGCTCCAGCATGGGACAGGGTGAAGCAGAAAAGCCGGCACTGTGCTTGTGCTACTCCATCCCTACTGATGAAAACTGTCTTCCATGGCCCAGCCACCAGGGTGCACAGGTAGCACCACCACTTGGGAAGCTGGAAGCCACATGAGAGGCACAGGTTTAGATTTTGGCCCAACCTGAACACATTAGGTGCAGCTGCATGCACTTGTAATCCTAGCTAATTGGGAGGCTGGGGCAGAAGGACAGTGGCACCATGAGACCTTGCCAAAAATACCTCTCTGTCCCATTCCCTCCCTCGTTAAGGGTTAAACAGCATTCAATGTTTGTTGAATAAGTATTTTCATTCACAGTTATCCTCCACATCTAAGAGCATTTAATTCTTTAGTATCTTTGTTTTTTCCCCTATATTATTCTTAGGTATATTCACCTGTTCGCCCAGCAAAATTCCCCCATTCCACATAAAGGAAAAACCTGTGTTTTTCGGGACACTGGACAGTGGGCCTTGCACTCACTGCAGACAAGTTGGGGCTCCCTCACACATTGGTAAGCACAAGAAGGGTGAATTATCATCTAATTTTGATTCTGAGACATTGAAATTAATTTAGGAAATGCTCATTCTCAACCTAAAAGGATCTGCTCTGCATTCTTAGCTAGGGGCTAGGTTCACTAAAACTGAACTGCAAAGGCCAGCAGATAGTGTAGTGGTTACATCACTGAATTCCCACATGGCTGATCGCAGTTCGAGTCCTGGACCCGTGGCTTTAAAATCATGTTGGGTGTGTGTGCAAGTGTGCCCAAAATTCCAGGAAGAAAATGGAGGAGAAGGGACTGCAGCATGGCCATTCCCCCTGGGGGGTGATTTCTCACTTTCCCTCTCACTGTCTCTCTCTCTCTCTCTCTGGTGAGGACATGTACACTATGGCAAAAACCTCTTAAAAGCAAAACAAACAAAACAAAACTGAATTTCAGGCCATCTAGTGGTGTGTGAGTGAGATAGCTAGCTAGAAGTCACATGGCTGATAGCATGGTTCAAATCCTAGATCTAATGGCTTGAGAGACATGTCGGTGCATGTGCATGCATGTTCAAATCCCAAAGTGGCACGCCCTCAGTCAAATTTAAAAAAAAAAAAAAAAGTGAATTGCTTTACCCTCAGCTTTTTAGGACATACAGCAAAATGAGGTGAACATACATATTTGTTAAAAGTTCTCAGAAGTGGCCATTAAAACCAGTCTCGGGACCAGCAGTTGGTGTAATGACTATGTCACTGGACTCCCATGTAGTCGACTGCAGTTCAAGTCCTGGACCTGGTGGCTTAAACTCACACCGGGTGCGTGTGCATGCATGCCCAAGATCCCGAGAGGAGAATGGATGAGAAGGGATCGTGGCGTTGCAATCCCCCTGGGGGGTGATTTCTCACTATCTCTCTGTCTCTCTCTGTCTATCTGGAGAGCGCATGTGCCCTATAGCAAAAACCTCTTAAAAAAAAAAGTCTCTGTCTAAAGTATTTTAATTTCTACTTTGTCTAATTCTAAAGATTTCTGAAGCACAAACATATTAATCCTCACACTTACCACATTTGCTGAGGTGTCCAATAGCTTTTTCATACCGTTTCAAGTATTTGTCTATTGTGAATCGTTGATAATTAGTTTCCATTTTCTTAAGTGTATTAAGAAATGGAAGATATTCTTTGGGATCCTAAAAAACAAAAAAGAACTTTATTACTTGTGATATTTACATGTAAATAACATGCAATAATATCAATAACAATTAATCACAGCAATAACCCAAAGCTATGTAATGTTTAAATGTATATCATACTAATACATTCATTACATAATATTTTTAATAAAGAATTCTTTTATTTAATTTTATTTATTTATTTGTTTGTTTTACTTAAATTTGACCAGAGAGGGACAGAGTGAGTGAGAGAGAGAGAGATGGAAAGTGAGAAAGCAAGCCACCAGGCCCAGGACTCAAACTGTGGTTGACCATGTGGGAGTCTAGCGCCCTTAACCATCATACCACCTGCCAGCCCTAATTATATAATATTCAAAACCAAACTACATCAAACAAGTTTTGGTAAAAATCCAGGAGGAGAATGGAGAAGGGATTATGTGGCCATCCCCCCTAAGGGGATAATTATGGTATTGTGGCCATCCCCCTTCAGGAATGATTTCTCATTTTCCTTCTGTCCCTGCTTCTCTTTGGCAAGCACATTTGCCCTATGGCGAAAACCTTAATATACACACACACACACACACACACACACACACACACAAAGGTAAAATTACACTGAGTTGGGAACAAAACTCCGGGGCCCTGCCAACCTAGGATTTATCAGCACTTTATCTCTAGTTTTCTGTTATATCCTGTAAACAAATTACTTTTCTTCTTAAATAAGAGATGCTTGCTGTTCTTAATACAATTTCATTGGGCAAACAAGATGAAGACACGGAGGAACAATACAGAAAAGAGCCAAGACAGTAAGTAATGAAATGTTCACGCATGTGATGTGGAGGATAACTGTGGGTCCAAATATTCAATCAACACTTAGTAGGAATCTGACAAGTATGAAGAGAGCTGCATAACCCTCAACCTCAGGAAACTTATGCTCTAGGAGTGAGCTAGGTACTGGGTGTAACAGAAACACACAAGGAACACCACCTCACCCAGTCCCTTGAGGGAGGCAAGAATGGCCTCCTGGAAAGATGCCACCTCAACCTTTGGCCCAGATGAGTGAGTATCAGCCAGGTGAATAGTGAGGGTAGGAGCAGTAGAAGCCCATGTGCCCACAGGAGGCAAATGTACGAGGCATGTGGTGACTGGTGACAGGCAGGGTGAGGGAAGGAGGACAAAAGCACAGCCTTTCCTCCATGGGCAGAAGAAAAAAGCCCATATCAAGAGATGAGAATGGAGACGCCTGCAGAGGAGAGTTTTTAAGAAATATTATGGCTTCTAAAAATTATCTTAGGACAATGGGGAGCTCATGAAGGACTGTGAGCAAGAAGGATAAAGAATCAAGACTTTCCATTTTACTTCACTTCCTCAACCCAGCAACCCAACACTTTGATAAACCCAGAACTGTGACTAAGAACAAGGCTGAGAGGGTCCTGGAGACTCACGGATTTGCTTGCAGTCCTGTAATCAGCCTCACATGGGACAAGATTCGGCATTATCAGGAGGGCAGGATTTCAGACTATGATGATATAAACAAGAACAAGGGACCAGCAGATGGTGCAATGATTATGTTGCTAGACTACATAATGATTATGTAGTTGACTGCGGTTCAGGTCCTGGACCCAGCGGCTTAAAAGTCACACCAGGTATGTTGTGTGTGTGTGCCCCAAATCCTGAGAGGAGAATGGAGGAGAGGGGATTGTAGCATGGCAATCCCCCCTGGAGAGTGATTTCTTGCTTTCTGTCTCTCTGTCTCTCCAGGAAGCGCATGCACCCTATAGCAAAAGTCTCTCTAAAAAAAAACAAAAGAATGAAGCTAAAGTACTAACTCTACATACCTTCTGTGACTTCTCGGCTACCATGAGAACCAAATCAAAGTCATAGGTCCCAAGAGAATGATCATACAATTCATTAACGTCTACTAGAAGCAGCAAATATTTCAGGGCCTCTTCGGCACTCACAACCTCAGGAACAGATGGAGCAGTTCCTGTCAGTGTTAAGAACAAAAACCATTTGGGGAAAAACTCACAGACCTAGTAATATAACCAAAAAGAACTAGACACCAGGGGAAAATATACTTTGGATTCAAAAAAGCAATACTCGAAAAATGGACACAGGTCTTAAAATGACGACTGAAAGGCAGTAAGTTAAGACATGGAATGACACAATAATGGTCATCTGCAAGAGACCAGTGACAGTCAAGGCCACTGGTCAACATTCTGCAAATAGGTCTCTACCTTGAAGCTCGTGTACTTTCTGCAGCACAATTTCCAGTTCTGGGGTTGTTTTCTTCACATGAGATGTGAGTATGGATAGAAAATACCTGAGGTAGTAAAAACACCAGAATGAAAAGGATGACTAAGCTGGACAAGGACAACTACATACTTCTGTTATTCGAAAAATGACAACTGATGGCTGTAAACATACCTGTGAGGATTTATGTTCTCCATGGCTGCTCTCATAGCATCACACACAAGGTCTAGCTTTTTCCCTTCAGGATCTCTGGATGGCTGAACACTATTGGTGACTGGTGGAGGGTACATTGTCTTTGTGACATCTTCTTCCCTAAGAGCAAGTGAAAAAGACACTAGAGTTTGGCTCTGTAGTCTAGCATATACCCAGCATATTGATGTGACAAAGATAAAAATGGTTTCTGGAAAACAGTTTATAAAACTACTGAGAAATGGGGACCAGCAGTTGGTGTAATGGCTATGTCGCTGGACTCCCATGTAGTCGGCTGCGATTCGAGTCCCAGACCCGGTAGCTTAAACTCATGCTGGGTGCATGTGTGTGCGTGCATGCCCAAGATCCTAAGAGGAGAAGAGAGGAGAAGGGACTGCGGTGTGGCTATTCCCCTTAGGGGGTGATTTCTCACTTTCTGTCTCTCCAGTGAGTGCATGCTCCCTATAGCAAAAACTTCTCCAAAAAAAATTCTGAGAAATGAGAAACGAATCATGCCCATAAAAGACTAATATGATAATGTTCATAGATGTTTTATTTACACTGGTCCTAAACAGAGTGAAATCTAGGTGTACAGCAACAAGGGAGTGATTAAACAGATGAAGGTGTGTTTATACAATGGAACACTTTTTAACAATAAAAAAGAATGAACTGGTGATACATGCAAAAACATGGCTTAACATCAAGACAATAAGCTGGGTGAAAGCAGCTTTATTCACACAGAATAGTAAATACAGCATGATGCATTTATATGACGTTCTCAAACAGGCAAAAAATCTATAGTAAAAAAAAATCACAATAGTAGTTATCTGGGGTTGGGACAGGGACTGACTGAGGAGGAATCTGAGGGAACTTTCTGAGAAGGATGAAATGCTCTCTAACTTGACATGGGGTCAGGCTTCACACAGTATACATTTGTCAAAACTCACTCACTGGTACACTTGTGACTTAGCATTTCACTGCAGAGAAATACCATCTCAAAACAAAACAAACCTATATATGGTGAATATGCTCCAGGTAACAGTATGCAAGGTGAAGCACTGAGAGGTAGAGTGAATTAATGTCTACAACTAACTGATACATATCTAAAAATAATAAATAATAAACAGATTATAGCATAAGTAAAGCACATACATAAAAATATGAATCGGAGAAGCTGGGGGTGGTAGTATAGGAAATTACTGGACAAATCTCTCAACTTTTCTGTATTAAAATGTTTTATTAATCAGTTGAAAGAAGGGCCAGTAGGTGGCATAATGGCTAAGGTGCTAGATCCGATATGGCCAATTCTTTACAGTTCAAAACCCAGACCCGGCAGCCTGACAAACACACTAGATGTGTGTGTGTGTTCCCAAAATCCTAAGAGGAGGATTAAAGAGAGGGGAATGTGGTGTGGCCATCCCTCCTGGAGGGGGGCAATGATTTCTCCTATTCCCTCTTTCTCTGGCAAGCACACATACTCTATGGCAAAAAAGGAAAAACAAGAATCACAGAGAAAGACATTTATTTGATTTCAGTCTCCTAAGTAAGATAAGCAGCTTCATATAGGTACTTAAAAACAAGTCAAACAATAATTCTTAATGACCTATTTAAAGTTGCAGTTTTAAAAAAGGTTGTTTTATTAAAAGGAAAGGAGCAAAAATACTACTGGAATCTAAGAATTTTAGTGATTTTTAAAAAATTAACAGTAGTTATCTTATTTCCTTAAGGAAAAGACAAAACTATAGAAATGATATTCATAAATACTCATAAATTATTCAAAATACTTACTTTAATTCTGTGAAAAATAAATTAATATGATTTACAGAATCTATCTGTCTTATGAAGGTTTCCACATTTTCAAGAAATGCCTATCAAAAAAGAGACAAAACATTTTAGTACAGATCACATTAGTTCAGCATAAAGTAAGCTGGGGTAAAAGTCGGATTTAGAAGGTTACCTTAGGGTTGTGATCATGGATCAGATTGAGGTTAATTCTCAGTTTTCTCATGCATTCAAATGCTTCTTTAAACATAAGTCTGTGAGGAGATAGAGAATGGCTAGAAAAGGTATTTTCCAAAATTAAGCTCTCTATAAGCCGCATGTTTTCATTATTACAAAAACCACTTATAATCAGGTTACAACCCAAATGCCAAACAAATTTCTACTCTGAAATTACAGAAAGAACATCAGGCCCCATGTCATTTGGCTTCCTAACAGGTACGATTTAAAAGAAAAGTTATATTTATCACAGCAGTCTGAGGACCATCTCCCCACATTCACACAGCAGATAATCACCCCAGAACTGAAGTCTATTTTTGGGACCAGCAGTTAGCATAATGGCTATGTCGCTGGACTCCCATGTAGTCGACTGCAGTTCACGCCTCAGACCCAGTGGCTTAAAACTCACGCCGGGCACATGTGTGTGTGTGCCCAAGATCCCGAGAGGAGAAGGGAGGAGAAGAGATTGTGGCGTGGCCATCCCCGCTGGGGGGTGATTTCTCGCTTTCTGTCTCTCTGTCTCTGTCTGTTTGGCGAACACACGTGCCGTATAACAAAAAGTCTGTTCGTGTGGCGAACACCCGGGCCGTATAAAAAAAAAAAAAAAAAAAAAGAAGAAGAACTGAAGTCTATTTTTCAAACAAAACACTAATATAGATCTTTCTCATAGAAAGCAGCCCCCTGCCCCCCCCAAAAAAGATTCAATCAATCCTTTCCTTCATGCTAGTAGCTTAGGCTTTTTTGGGTCATAGGCCTCACTATAAGTATGTTGATAGCCTTGAGCCTTTTCACCCAGATAAATACACAGATACCATTTTGCTGCATAATTTGTCGAGGTTCACAGCAACTTAAAGCTCAGTTGGATGCCCCTGGGTGAAAAGAAGCCCTACTTTACATGAGGAACTCGTGATTTTTTTCTTCTAGGAATACTGACTACATTTATAGTTTTAAAGTCAGAAAATAGAAAAAGTCTCTGAGAATCAGACTGAAGATATTTTAAATGGAAGTGTTTCATAAAGTTTTAAAAACTGTAATGAGGGACCAGCAGATGGCATAATGGTTACATTGCTGAACTCCCACAATGTCGACCACAGTTCAAGTCCCGGACCCGGTGGCTTAATACTCACACTGGGCATGTATGTGTACGTGCCCAGAATTCCAAGAGGAGAATGGAGAAGTGACTGCAGTGTGACCACCCCCCCCTTGGGTTGGGGGGTGATTTCTCACTTTCCGTCTCTTTGCCTCTGTCTCTCCGGTGAGCACCCGTGCCCTATAGCAAAAATCTCTCTCTCTAAAAAAAAAACTTCAATGAAACACTTACAGTCTTTGTGTGTACATCACGATAAGCTTATTAATCTTATATGCGGCACTTACTTGTCTAACCACTTCCGAATCTGAGCTAAAACCAGGGCTCGATGATGAACAACTTCTAGGTTTCCCCGTGGCATCTTAAAATAAATCAAAGCAATTACATTTTTAATTAAGTAAAATAAATTTAAATAGCTATGATACGCAGTTTCCCCCAGCTCCTCATACGGTACTACCACAACACAGTAAAATGAGCACTCAGGAGAATCTACTGTGCTCAGTACCTATCTGTACTGTCAAGAAATGCTTCCCCTTGAGCTTTACTGGTCAGAACTTGTATCAACACTCCTTTGTATGAAACTAACAACCTAGCAAAGAAACGTTTATAATAAATTATTACAAATGATAGCCAAAAATACAACGTGAAAGAATTATTTGGTATTAACTAAATGACAATGAGAGAGACAAGCTGAAAGGGTAGCATACCTGTAATATGAGCTTTGTGTCCTGGGGCACAACAGTGACGATCCGTGAACCCCTCTCCACCTTCCGCAGATTCTCCCCATTTGACACCTGACTGTTACTCAGAGCTGCCTGTAATGCTAAAGACACCACAGACTCAGCCTTAAGAATTATTGATGGGACCAGCAGTTGGTGTAATGGTTACATTGCTGGATTCTCATGTACTTGACCACGGTTGGGGTCCCGGACCCGGTGGCTTAAAACTCACTCCGGGTGCGGGTGCATGTATGCGCATGTGTACATGCGTGCCTAAGATCACTAGAGGAGAGGAGAGGAGGAGGAATTGCAGCATGTCCATTCCCCTGGAGTGTGTTCTTGCTGTCTCTCTCTCTGCCTCTCTCAGTCTCTCTGGCAAGCTCACAAGCCCTACAGTAAAAATCTTTCTCTCTAAAAAAAAAAGGAGGTGCATGAGTGGTTCAGTGGGAGAATTCTTGCCTGCCACATAAGAAGTCCAGGTTCAATTAGCAGCCCATGCAGCTGTCTGTCCCCATTTCGGACCAGCAGTTGGCGTAATGGTTATGTCACTGAACTCCCATGTAGTCAACCATGGTTTGAGTCCTGGACCCAGTGGCTTAAACTCACATCAGGCACATGTGCATGCGTACCCAAGATCATAAGAGGAGAATGGAGGAGAGGGAACTGCGGCATGGCCATCCCTCCTGGGGGGTGATTTCTCGCTTTCTGTCTCTGTCTTTCGAGAGAGCACACGCATCCTATAGCAAAAACCTCTTCAAAAAAAAAAAAGAATTATTGTGACAAAGGGGCTAGCACGTGGCATGGTGAATGGGGAGCTGGATTCCCACATGACCAACTGTAGTTCGAGTCCTGGACCTGGCAGCTTGCTTCTTACTTTCCCTTTCCCTCTCTACGTCTCTCTCTGGTCAAATTAAAAAATAATTATAAATGTAACTAAATAAAAATACTTATAAAAAAAAGACATGACATGTGTGTTATCATGACAACACATTTCCCATTAACTGCACATACTACCTGAAATAGAGAGCAATTAACATTCAGGTTCCTCTGCTTTTGACCTTTAGACGCTTAGTTCTCCTTCCATTTTTAATTTTTTTTTTCGTTTTTTGCTATAGGATATGTGCACTTGTCAGAGAGAGAGAGAGAAGTAAGAAGTCAGCCCCTAGAGGGAGGGCTACACCATAATCCCTTCTCCTCCATTTTCTTCTCAGGATTTTGGGCACATATACACACATGTCCAGCATGATTTTCAAGCCACCAAGTCTGGGACTTGAACTGTGGTCAGTCATGTGGGAGCCCAGTGACATAACCATTACACCATCTGCTGGTCTCTAGTTTCTCTACTTCTTAGCATTATTAGTACTATATAATCATATCAATGACAAAAGAATTCCCTATTTCCAATTTAGAAGCAAAGAAAATAAGAGAGCTTTGTAGAATAAGGAAAATACAAGGCCATTTCATGGCATGACAGTTATGCATCTGGACCCCACATAGCCAATTGCATGGTTCAAATTCCAGACCAGCAGCTTGAAAAACACAGCAGGCATATGTATGTATGTACCCAAAATCCTGAAAGGAGGGAGAAGTGGAGAAGAAAGGATTGAGAAGTGACCATTCCCCATGGGTTAGGATCTGATAACAGTACTTTCTGATCAGAGCACTTTCTCTTTCTCTCTCTTTCTGGTTAGTGCATGTGCACTCTGGCAAAATTAAAAAAAAAAAAAACAATAAAAATGAACAAAAACACCAACAATTCAATAAAAAATTAAGTCTTTGAGTAAATGTGAAAAAAAAGAATAAGGAAAACTCAGACATACAGGCAGACAAGCACACACACAAATGGGGTGTGGAATATAAGAAAAAAAATGGAGCCAATATGCCAATATCCCACAGACCATGACACATAGTCCAGGTGTAAAAGGGAGGATGGCCACAATGAGATAACGAAAATTACACACAAGTTAGAGCACACTGCCTGTATCTATATGGCAACCTAAAATTTAAAATTAAGTCAATTACACAATAAAATCTCCTGGAAGAATTTTAATTTTAGAATGTGTTGCTTAAGGAAGGACCTCCTTCACTGGAAGTCTTTGCTAGCTGGTGCAGAATGATTTCACAGACGTATGCCAGCCACAGGGGAGTTCAACACCTCACCCACTACACCACCTGCTGGTCCCTGAAAACTTTCTTTTTTTTTTTTTAATATTTATTTATTTATTTATATTTATTCATTCATTCATTTATTTTAATTCGACCAGAGAGAGACACAGAGAGAGAGGGAAAGTGAGAAAGCAAGCCACCAAGTCCAGGACTTGACCCATGGTCAGCGATGTGGGAACATCCAGTGCCTTAACCACCACGCCACCTGCTGTCCCCAAAAACTTACTTTTAAATGAAGCATCCCTTAGGGAAAAACACTGACAGGTATGCGAATGGGTCGTCAACAATAAAAATTCATCATACACTGCAAAAGATGTGACGTTTGATGCAACCTGCAACAAAACAAGAGAAACAATGGAGAAGTGAGCTATTTCACTTGGAGTCAACACTATGAGAGGAACCTGCACCAAACCAAACCTTGATACCTCAGTGTCATTGATGAAGAAGCGACACCTCTCAGTCAGACCAAGGACACAGTCCTGCAAAGAAATAAAATAGAAATTATAAGCAATTCTACTTCAAACTAACTAAACCCAACTTTCCTATGGTATAGCTTTAATGTCCTATGATTTCACAACCAAGCCCTTGTTATCAAAACAGAACACAGATTCCCAAGATGCAACTGATCCACTTCAATGGAGTACGATGCCACGACATTCACCAGCAAGCCCTGTCACATCTATCTCCTATACATATCTCCAATACACAACTTTCCTCCCCTCACCGACTCCACTCCAGCAGTTTCTGTTGGCCCCTCATTCCCCTCTCAGTCCCTCTCCAACTTTCTCTCCTCTGACCAGCCAGAATCACTTTTAAACTGTGAGGTAGAACATATTTTTATCATTATTATTATTTTATTTAACTTTATTTATTTATTTATATTTGATGAGGGGGCTGGGGGAAGGGAAAATGAGAAAGCAAGCCACCAGGTCCGGGACTCGAACTGTGGTTGGCCATGTGGGAGTCCAGTACCCTTAACCAACCATGCCACCTGCTGGCCCCAGAACATATTTTTTTTTTTCTGATTTCTGTATATGATTTATTTATTTTTTACATTAGACAGGTGCAGTGCCAATGTCATAACAAGGTTTAAGGGAGGCACATCTCACATAATGGTGTGAAAACATTAATGCTTCTAATACCAATACATTTTAAAACTATTGTTCTAATACATAAACTCATGTTGCCTTCTGTCCTTTTGACTTTTCTGTTCCTTTGACTTTTTTAATATTCTCCTGTTCCTTTGACTTTTTTAAATTGAGCTATAATTCACAGACCACAAAGCACACTATTTGAAGCACTCAGTTCAATCATGTGTAGCACCTTGGGAACCAGCAGTTAGTGTAATGGCTATGTCGCTGGACTCCCACGTAGTCGACCGTGGTTCGTGTCCTGGACCCAGTGGCTTAAAACTCACGCCGGGCGCGTGTGCGTGCGTGCCCAAGATCCCGAGAGGAGAATGGAGGAGAAGGGATTGCAGCGTGACCATCCCCCCTGGGGGGTGATTTCTCGCTTTCTGTCTCTCTGTCTGTCGGGCGAGCGCACGCGCCCTACAGTGAAAACTCTCTCCAAAAAAAATAAAAATAAAAATAAAAAAAAAAATTAAAAAAATCATGTGTAGCACCTTCACAAGGTTGCACAATCATAATTCCAGCTTGTTTGACTTATTTCAAAAAACTAAAAAACCACAGTGTAATTTCATTCAATAAATATCCTTTGATCCTGATGCAATATTACTGCAGAAAGTGAAGCCTGTGTTAAGAATGACGACAGCAAGTTCTCAATCAAATAACCAGTGTTCAGGCAGTTTCAATAACTGCAGCGATTTCCTTGCACTGTCTGTAGAAATTCTGAAACTGGAATTGCCATTTCAAAGCACTTGTTCTTTACTTGCCCTGAATGATCCGCCACTTTTAGCATCACTGCCACATATAGATATTTAAGAGAGCTGCAGCTGTCGGAGCTCACAGCCATCCCCATTTCCACTGAAACTCTATGAGCTGGTTGGTGGCCTTGTATTTAGCATCCAGCGGGGAATCACCCAACCCCTCCATGGCCGGTGCCGTAGTTTCCGTGGAGCCCAGAGGACCCTCCCAGGCCCACTATTCCGCTTTCTCCAGAACATATTATTTTGATAACTAAAAATCATCAATGACATCCTGACCTTTGACAGATTAAAAATAAACCTGCAGTGTCAGCCCCATAGCACAGCAGCTACCTGTTATGCATAGGGAGTTGGATGCCATGTGGTCGGCTACAGTTAAAATCTCAGCCCCAAGAAAGAGAAGACAGCATAGCAGTTAGGTCACTGGACTCCCACTTGGCCAACTGAAGTTCGAGTCCCAGACCCAGAGGCTTGAAATTCATGCTGCGCATGTGTGCATGTGTGCCCAAGATCCTGGGAGGAGAGTGGAGGAGAAGGGATTGTGGCATGGTTATCCCCCCGGGGGGATAATTTCTCACTTTCCCCCTCACTCTCTGTCTCTCTCTGGGGCAAGCACACGTGCTCTAAGCCTAAAACCTCTTTAAAAATAAAATTCCAGCCCTAGTACCTTGAAAAACACTCTGGGCATGTGTGTATACATGCCTCCAATTCTGAGAGGATGGAGAAATGAAGGTAAAAAGATTGCAGCATGACCACACCCCACAGAAGGCTGAGCATGCATTCTCTCTCTCTTTCTCTCTGTTGAATGCATGCACACCAACTGGCAAACAAATAAACAAACAAAAAAAGGAAAGAATCCATGCCAGCAAGAGGTATGGTGGTTAGGGCAGCTCGATCCCTTACGGTTAACATCACAGTTCAAGCCCATGATCCAATGGCTTGAAAAACACTCAAGCCATATGCATGCATGCCCAAAATCCCACAAGGAGGGAGAAATGGAGACGGGATTGCAGCGTGGCTATCCCTCATGGGAATGCTTTCTCCTATCTCTCTCTCTGCCTCTCTTTGGCAAGTGTATGCATCCTCTGACAAAAGTTAAACACATCAATCCCCCTTTCTACGCTTTGTTACTAAAGCTCCAGCTGCACTGGCTTATGCAGTCCCTTGAATAAAAGAAGCTCAAGCTCTTTCTAAGCTTCTGGGGTTTATAGCTCCTCCTCCCTGGAGTACTCTTCGTTTCAGAGAAGAGAGGCTTCTTTTCCTCCCATCTCAGCACATACGTCACCACCTCAGTGGGTTTCTGGACCACCAAAAGTGGGGTTCCCACCGTCACTGCCATCATCCTTTACCCCAAACACCATGTTATTCTCTACCATTACACCCTTCTCACTTCCTTCATTCCTCCATGAGGGAATAATTTTACCTATACTGTTAGATCACATGTTCCTGAAGAGTACGGATTAGTTAGGTGTTTTGTCTTATAACCTACCACTCATCACAATTACAAACATTCTAATATTTGAATGACAATCTACTCCGTACTATTTTGGTATCACATTTATTTTCCTTAAAACATATTTAATAAAACAAAACTTGGGGAACCAGCAGACAGCATAATGGTTACATCACTGGACTCCCATGTAGTGGACCACTGTTCAAGTCCTAGACCTGGTAACTGAAAACTCACGCCAGGCACGTGTATGTGCACGCCCCAAATCCCGAAAGGTGACTGGAGAAGGGATTGCAGCAATATGGCCTTCCACCATGGGGTGGTGGCGGTGGTGGGGGCGGAGGAGTGATTTCTTGCTTTCTATTTCTCTGTCTCTCTGTGGAGTGCACAAGCCCTATAGCAAAAATCTCTAAGAAAAACACCAAAAAACAAAAACACCTTAGTTGTCCCATAGAACCAGGGATAAGTTTGCCAATCATATTCACATGCATAATTTCATCTAGTCTTTCCCCAAACCCTAAGAGATAGATATTCATTTTCCCACTTTTCAGATCAAAGTGTGGCTCGGAAAAGTGAGATTATTTCCCGTGGCTGTTTTGAGATCTAGTGGAGGCCCAGATCCACCTCTATAGCCCACCTGCTGCCCTCAGTCCTTGGGTAACAACGCTGAGTGGTAAATGCTACTGCTCCATGTTCCCTTACCTCTCCTCCAATCATGGCCACTTCGATTTGTGTGCATGGATAAAGAAACCGGACAGGAACTCCGTCAGTGTTTTTCCACGGTTCAACAGCCACAGAAGATGACTCTGCAAGATCGGCAGATCTGGTTTACAAACAACTGACCGGCTCATTGAAAAACCAACAGTGCCTAAACTTAGTAAAACACGTGACAGGCCAGTTGGATCACTTTCCAGATGCATTTTGGAAACTCATTAGGGCACGTAACACTCAGCTGTACTGACGATAGACACACAGGTACATCCTTTTAAGAATTAAACATCTAAACCATAAACATGCTTTCCTAATAATTTGATACTCACCCCAAAGGTACTTAAGTATCTGGCCATCAGCCAGCTGCAATGCTACTGACTTGGTCTTGGAACTGCAACACACGCTGATTATGACCCCATCCACCATCACAGATGAACTGACAAAAAAGGGGGGGAGAGGGTGAACAGACCATCTTTCTCAAAAGTAGTGACATTTCACTGATTTTGCAAAGCAGAAAAAAAAAAAAGAGCATTTTCCATTCAGTCCTGCACTGCCTATCTTTTAAATTTTTGTTTTGTTATAGGGCACATGCACTCAGTAGAGACAGAGAGACAGACAGAGCGAAGTGAGAAACCGCCACCCAGGGGGATGGTCACATCCCAATCCCTTCTCCTCTAGTCTCCCCTTGGGATCTTGGGCACATATGCTCACATGCCTAGAATCATTTTCAAGCTGCCAGACTGGGATTCAGGTCCAGGACTCAAGCCATAAAGTAGGACATGTGAGATCCCATGTCTTAACCTCCACACCACCTGCTGGTCCATTCTTGCCTGTATTAATACAATATATATGTATGTCATAATATATGTGTATTAAATATGTATGTACACACACACAGCCACATACACATGTATACATATGCATATAGATGACAGATAAACTACCACAAGTCTGCCCAGATAAAGCAGTTAATCTGTTACATGATGGTATTTTCTGCAAAGCCAATAAACTGGTTGTCTACATTATGAAATCATCACTCGTATTCTGGCAGTAACTTATTACAGTTCATTGTAATAAGTTATAAAAGTCACTGTTCATTAGCATGAATGGTATAAATGGTAGCATTTCTGTATTAAAATATAAACTGCATTAAATACAGCAGTGGCCCTGTAGGAGAAAAGCAAACTCAATATGCTGTCACATACATTCAGGGAAAACTGGGTCTTCATTCATGAGAAAAGGAGACTGGAGCTGCCATTACATTTTTCCCTGTGTCAATGAACAGACAGAAGTAGAATTTCTTGGGTCAATGGGTGGCGTGGTGGTTAAAGGCGCTGGACTCTCACATGGCTGACAACAGTTCAAGTCTCAGACCTGGTGGCTGGTTTTCTCAGTTTCTTTCCCTCTCTCTAATCAAACTAGAAAATAATAACAATACTAATGATAATAAAGTTAAGTAAAATAATTCTATAAAAAAACAAGTAGAATTTTTTATAGGAAGAGAAAGAGGTAGTGATATATACAAATGGCACCAGTACTTACATTTAAACGATCTATGAAAACCCTAAAAATTTTAGCCATGATTAATTTCTCTACAAATGCCTCAATTTTGTAAGGATTCATCAAGAGGTTAAGAGAATAGACTTTGGAGCTAGACTGGCTGGGGATCAATCCTGATTCCACCTGCCTGATCTCAGGCAAGTAAACTACTTTGTCTCTCAGTTGTCACTTCTACAAACTGACGGTGCTAATAGCACATATGCAAGGAGGGACTGTGAGAAATCAATGAGTTAATATATGGAAAGCACTTAAAAATCCAGGCCAGCACGTGGCATGGTGGTTAAGGTGCTGGACTCCCATGAGGCTACCCATGGTTAAAGTTTAGGACCTGGTGCTTGAAAACCACATTAGGCATGTGTGTGTGTGTGCACGCCCAAAATCCCAGGAGGAGAACGGAAGAGAAGGGACTGAGGAGTGGCCATCCTCCCTGGGGGTGATTTCACTTTCCCTCTCAATCTCTCTCTTCTCCTGTCTCTCTCTGGCAAGTCCATGCACCCTACAGTAAAAACCTTTCAAAAAAAAAAAAAGAGTGTGTTTGACAAAATATAAGCTAAAGTAAATAAGTTATTTATAGCTATAAACTAAATGAGAGACTTTACATTCCTCAAAGACATTAATATTCTATATGAATAAAATATGGTATTTTTTGAGAAAAAAAGTCAAAGCACTGTGTATGTATATGTATACACACACACACACATATTTTTTTTTTAAGTTTGTTCATTTCTTCCTTCTATGAGAGAGAAAGAGACAGGCATCCCCATCAGACTCTTTACACCATCATCCACCTCTAGGGTCTTGGTCAGCCCGGATCTCAGGCATGAATGTACGTTGCCAGTGTGCTCAGGAAGGCTGAGGATGTGAACCAGGAACTTTCCCAGATGGGTCCAGTTGCAATACCACTGCACAGACTACCTGGCTCCAAAGCAGCAAAATTACTAACATAGTGCAAATGACTTCTCATTTCCTCCACAGTGAATATGATCACATCGGGCTTTTCCTTCTACAGCCAATGATAAAGAATTTCAAGTTTGAAAAAGCAGTAATTTGCATAATTTAGGTATTTCTAATGTAAATTGCTCTGCTTTTCAAAAAATAAGTTTCTGGTTACTTTGAGTTCTGCATATATCTATTGATAGATTATATTCTACATCTAGACACATTCACAAAAAGCTTTTTGAAATATCATGAACCATTTGAGTCAAAGATTAGGGGTCAATGACTACATTATATATTGTGTATGTAACAAGGAAAGGCTTTTAATTTTGCAACAAGGGTCTTCAGAATAAGTATCGAAGACGGCTTTAATTACAAATGAATCTGGGGATTACTCTCAGTATACGACTAAGCTGACAAGTCTGGACAAACCTAAGGCATTGTGGGAGCTCCCCTGAAAACACTGTTTACTGTACAATAGTGTTTGCATTATATCTTGTGTAACATACAGCACTCATTAACTGAAACTTGTTACGTGATGAAGATGCTACCAGGAATCAAAATAAAACTCCAGTCCAGAGAACAGTGAAATGTCAGCAAAGACAGGGGAGCCTTTCTTGTGGCAAATGTAGTCTAGTAGTAAACAGAATGTACAGAAGAGGTCAAAAGAGCATCTGAAATTGCCACATCAAAATGAGGTAAATATATTTTATTTCTTCCTAATGTATCACCATAAGAACTAACTACTCTAATTAGCCTTGAAAGTCATTAAAATCAATTATAAGATCAAACAATGGACTGGCCTCATAGCACAATGGTTAAGGAAGCCAGATTCCACATGGCTAACTATAGCTTGAATCCCAGCCCTGGTGGCTTGAAAAACACACCAGGCACATATGCATGCATGCCCAAAATCCTGATGGGAAGGAGGAATGTTTAGAAAAAAGGATTGTAGCATGATGACATCCCACTGGAGGATGTTTTTCTCTCTCGCTCTCTGGCAAGTGCACATGACCTCTGGCAATTAAAAAAAATAATAATAAATTACCTGCAGGAATGTGGGTAGATGCTCAATTAAAATATTTAACACATCTTTAAAATGTTTTGCCTCACTATTGGTATTTGTCCTGTTTTTACCACTTGTAGATATATTTTTGGTCTGTCATTTTGACAAGACAAAAACCTGGACTTAACCCACTTGCTAAGTGTGCCTAACAAGAAAGACACTGCCCCTCGATTATGTCACGTTAGGATCCAAAATAAAGTCCTATGCTCATAAAAGAAAAAAGGGTAACTCTTATTTGCTCATTGAACACATGAAACACAGGAAGATGCCGAAATACCTGACACTGAGCTGTCCTTGCTCCTCATCCACCTCCGAAGGGGCCGTAGTCAAACGGTGAATGACAGACTGTTGGCTGGACTGACTATGGCTTACGGCCAGGAAAATGTCTTCTTCAACCCAGGTGAGAAGGCCGAGCTTCAGTGGGTTTACCGCTTCCTCTTCACTATTTTCAAACTGAATTCTGTTTCAAATATTAAGAAAATCCAAGATATAAATAAAGCTTAAAAATTACTTAGATTTTCCTGAAGGAAAGAAGAATGCACTACCTGCCAACTCCTCTTCATTTAGAGAAAGACACTTGAGATCCAAAAGTGCTTGTATAGCTTAATAATGTTTCTATATTTATTTTCAATTGAGTTTCTCATACCCTGAGATCCTTATGTTTGAAGAGAATACTGGAGGATTCTGACTGCACTAGAAAATTACCTGCCCCAGTACATCCGCTAATGAGCCTCAGAGCTGCTGCATTCCACTGTCACCACTTACCAGCATTCAAATGAGATTCCATCAGGAATTTGGGTCTCGGCAGAAAAGGTCCTTTTTAAAGCGCCTCACATTGAAATGACTAACTGGCTTGAGAGGTGAATTCTGTGCTTCTAGCACCTTCTGCAGTAGCCCTGTACTCCTGACCAGGACAATGTTTTTGCCGCCTCATGTAGGAAACCCTAGTGGTCACTTGCAACCATTTATATCTAGGGGCAAATCATCAACTCCCACTGAAGAGGCTGGTCACTAGCCTCATCCTCCTACTCAAGCAGTTGTCCCCGGACTCAAGTCTTGAACTGCATTCAGCCCAGGGTCCTCTCTACACAGGACCATTCCCACCTCTGCTGCTCACTGACAGTCTCCTTTCAACCACACTCATGTTCCCAGTTCTTGTCCGTCAATCCCAAACTCATCCCTTCTTCAAATATCGAGATAGGTATTCATGCCCTTCATGAAATCGTCTCTGACTCGGAGTTATCCTCTCAGTTCTTTTAAATGAAACTATATTCTGAACTGCCTCACATGTTCTAGTTTGCCTTACATGCCTGTCCTTTAATGATTTCAAGTTTGCAAAATGAAATAAATATAAATATTCTTTAGAAAGCATTATATAGGCAGTCCTCAAGTCACATCAAATTCTTTTCTTCATTGTATTTAGTTAAGTACTTCAATTAACTCAGAAATACTCCCAGGAAGCTAGGCGGTCCCATACTCAAGAACATGGACTGATCATACAGAAGAGATTCAAATCCTGGATTCTCTTGTTACCAAGTCCATGACCTTGGGCAAATTACCTAACTTCCATACTCGCAGGGTCGCACTATGTTGCAATCCTCTTGCTTCAGCCTCCTGAGGACCTGGAGTGAACCTGAGAACAGGTGCACACCACCGTGCCTGGCTTTTTCAGGAGACTAGAAAATAAACCTGAGTCTCGCATTTGACTTCAACTAGCCTACAGCAGGTCAACCAGTTCACACTACTGTAGCTAAGCCTACACTATGTTTTCGTAACTCTAAGTACTTAATAAGTGGTACTGTTCTTTTAAAAAAAAACATTTTCTCACAAAAGAGGCATTATAGTTTAGCTTCTAGGTCATTTTGCAAATGTCTATAATATACCTGAAATATTCAATTATACCCAATCATTTATAAAATTGTTTCAATGGGGAAACACGTTCTCATTTCCAATCTAAAAATCTCCAAACACAGCACCCACAAGTTCTAGAGCTTCGAATGAAACAATAACAGAGGCTGCATTAAGTTATCCATACACTAACCACCCGTATGTCCTAATTTGTGTGAGAGAACGCAACTCTGCCTATACTCTTCATTTCCATCCTTCCTAAATTGTTTTCCCTGGTGAACCGAGGACTGATGTGGGGAGTGGGTTCTTATCCAAATTATGACTCATATTTCCCCGCCACCCATCAGAATAGCATTCAGATACGCAAAGTGATTAGCTTTTTTTTTTTTTTTTGAGAGATTTTCACTATAGGGCATATGTGCTCGCCAGACAGAGAGAGACATAGAGATAGAAAGCGAGAAATCACCCCCCAGGTGGGATGGTCATGCCACAATCCCTTCTCCTCCATTTTCTTCTCGGGATCTTGGGCATGCACGCACATGCGCCCAGCTTGAGTTTTAAGCCACAGGGTCTGGGACACGAACCACAGTCGACTACGTGGGAGTCCAGCAACATAGCCATTACGCTAACTGCTGGTTCCCCAAAGTGACTAGCTTTTCAAAGCAGGCTGAAAAATCAAGGCCCCGGTGTTGTCTCTACTTCTTGTGCCACTCAAGACACAGGTACAGAATAACGACAATTGGAAGAATTTAGAACTAAATCCTGGCTGATTCTGTTCCCAGAGATTCACGATAATTAAGAACCTACCTGTATCTCTTTTCCAGATGAGGTGTTCTAAGGGGAACTTTAAATCCATTCCCACCCACAGCTCCCAGTTTCACTGTGGGGTCTGCACTTGGACCATCACCTAGAAAACAAAAAAGTGAAAACACTATAAATGTAACTGTAAAATATTTCTCCTAATACTGACAATGGATGATTCTAAAAGCAAATAAAACAACACAGAAAATAACCACATCCTATCTCCTTTCTTAAAACTCTATTTTTATTAAGTTGTTGGGAAAGCCATGATGCATTTTTGCATAGAGAAATATGTCACAACTCTCCCGATGACCTAATATGCTTTACAGTTTTAACCAAAATCTGATTTTTCCTTAATACTATCACACCAGTCACGATCTTCACCCATAAAAGCAACACCTCAGTAACCCCAGATGAAGGAGTTGCCCTCTTCTTCCAGAGCTGTTTCAACTGCCCAACCTTGCATCTGCTCAGGTCCTAAACTCACAGACATTCTCTTTCCATTCCTGACACAGTTTATCCACTACACAGCACCCAATACAATCCTTTAAAAGCTGAGGCTGAGTCAGAAAACAAGTTACAAGCTCTGTAGCAGCTTCCTATCTCACTCGGAAGAAAAGCTTTAAGGCCCTACAAGAGCAGTTCCCTATCAGCACTGTGACTCCCCTCCTCTGCTCTGCTGCAGCCACCCTGGCCTCCCAGCTATTTCCTAAACACAAGGGACACCTCTGCAGTTGCTTTTTCCTCAACTAGGAATATTCCTATCCCAGATATTTGCATAGCACCTATTCTGATTCTCACCAGGTCACTGATTAAACATCACCTTCAGGCCAAACAACAGTACAGTGATAATGCAACTGGACCCATATGGGGAGGTCCTGAGTGCTCTTCTGGGAGTTATTCTGTGCACTGGGTTGGCAGAGGCTGGGGATGGATTGCAGCATGAAGACCCTGTGATGAGTGACTGCCTGTCTCTCTCTATCTTATGGGAAGAAATAAACAAACTTAAAAAAGAAAGCTGCCCAGCCAACAGGTGGCACGGTGGTTAAGGCACTGGACTCACACAGTTGAATGCTGTTGGAGTCCCAGACCTGGTGGCTTGCTTTCTCAGTCTTCTCCCTGTCTCTCTCTAGTGAGTGCACGTGCCCTATAGCAAACTAAAAAATAACAAAAATACTAAATACAATTGTATAAATAATTTTTTTAAAAAAATGTAAAAAGCTCTCACTTTCAGAGAGGCACTCCTTTTTTTTTTAAGAGGTTTATGCTATAGGGCGCTTGCACTCGCCAGACAGACAGAGAGAGATAGAGACAGAAAGCGAGAAATCACCCCCCAGGGTGGATGGCCATGCCGCAATCCCTTCTCCTCCACTGTCCTCTCGGGATCTTGGGCACGCATGCACACATGCCCGGCGTGAGTTTTAAGCCACCGGGTCCAGGACGCAAACCGCGGTCAACTACGTGGGAGTCCAGCGACATAGCCATTACGCTAACTCCTGGTCCCGAGAGGCCCTCTCTGATCTCCCTAAATATGAAAGCCAACTTCCCTAAGCAGGTCCCTAGCCTCACACTCCCCCTACACTCCATCTTGCTTAATTTTTCTCCACAGCATTGGCCATCCAATAGAATATATTTTCCTATTTATTATCTTTGTCTCCAGCTATCAATAGAATGTAAACTCCACAAAGGCAAGGACTAGAAAAAGACCTAGCACATAATAAACAATCAAGAAACAGAGTAAGAAGAAAAAAGAAAAAAAAAGGAGTGGTACTCGGGACACACTGAATGCTACCTTTGGGAGTTCGGCAGCTAACTCGCTGCACACCTCTCAGAGGTCCTCCACGTGCCTCCAAGGTCCTCATCTACTGGGAGCTCTTGTCTCTTCAGCTTCAGCACTAAGCCCTCATCAGTGCTCTGACCTGCTCTACTCTGAGATCTCAAACTAGAATATCCTGACTTGGACTTCAACCTCTAATCTGTCCTCTTCTCATCTTGGTAATATTTGTCATCCTCACCTTTGCTGGAGTCCCTGGACGACCTGTAAACTGAGGCCAGCCATGTCAGCACGAGACTCTCTGCTCTCTCACCATCCTGTCCTCTACCAGGCTTGTCCAGCAGGTGCCCAATGCTGGCCTTCGTCAACATCAAGTCTACCTGAGCTGCCACACCAGGGCCCCACATGAACCTACCATGTCTGAGATGCTAATCTCTAATCCTGTACCCCAGGAAGGCCTCTCACAGCCTCTTCCCAGATTCGCTTACATCCAAATCCTCTACAGTATGCTGCTTAACATCTCAGAAGCTTTTAGTTCCTGGACTTGCCTGTCCATTCTTCCTCTTCTTTCCATTTCTCCAAACATTTGTCTGGCTCAGACCCTCACTATGTCCTGCCTAGATACTCCACAACCGTTTCTCCTGACTGGTACCTTTGCCTTCAGGTACCTCCTCAACCTTGGCCATCCTACAAACTGATGGCAGCCTATCTTCCAAGAGCAGAGCTTCCAATGAACTCTATCTCATTATAGGATGCTGTAAACAGCAAAGAAAATAAATGTTGGGTGATACAGGGTTTCATTGCAGGGAGATGAAATCATCATATGAAGATGTCATCAGTAAGTCTGACTGTGGTGACAGTTTACAATTACGTGGATACCACACACACACACAGATGAACTGTGTACAATAAATAAATGGTTATAAAGCTCTTCTTTAAAAATTACATGTAGGATAAAACATTTGTACATCACAAGGTGATACAGAACCTTGATGCTGTCATATAGCAGGCACCATGAAAGCTTATGCTAAACCTGATTCTTCTTCCTCCTCCCTCAGCCTCCCCAGTAGCTGGGATCACAGGCACACAGTACTGCATTATACATCTGATTCTTTTTAATCTCATAGAACCAGCAGCAAGATACCCAAACAGTAACAGAATATAGAGGTGAACTTTGTCTACTTTTGATACGACTGGCTAAGAGAAAACTTTCTTTGAAAAGCAGTTAATTTTGGCTTTTTCTGACTTGCTTTGACAATGAATGAATTAGAATTATTTTAAGAAAAAACTATCAAGCCCCAGCTTCAACAATACAAGGTGCCAAAGGAGTGCTTACACAATGCTGGAGACATGGAAGACCCAGCTTCGGATCCTGGGTGGACCTGGACATGCCAGGAGCACATGTGCATGCCTGTGATCCTGACTGAACAGGAGGCTGGGAGTAGGATCATGGCATGGAAAAACCCTGTCAAGATGACCTGTCTCAGGGGACCAGTAGTTAGCGTAATGGCTATGTCACTGGACTACCACGTAGTCGACCGTGGTTCGCGTCCTGGACCCGGTGGCTTAAAACTCACGCCAAGCGCGCGTGCGTGCACGTCCAAGATCCCGAGAGGAGAATGGAGAAGGGATTGAGGCATGGCCATCTCCCCTGGGGGATGATTTCTCACTTTCTGTCTCTCTGTCTCTCTCTGTCTGTCTGGCAAGCGCATGCGCCCTATAGCAAAAACCTCTCCAAAAAAAAAGAAAGATGACCTGTCTCTGTCCCTCTCTCAAGAAATTATAAACAAAACATTAAATAAATAAATAATTAAAAAGAAGAAAAATTTGAAAGATATAACAACACTTTACAAAGTAAAACTAAAATCAGAGAAAGTGGTGATAATATCCAAATAGGACTCACATAAACAGTGACTATTTTTTTTAAAAGAATTATCCATTTAATTTTATTATTATTATTATTATTATTTTAAACTTGCTGTAGGGCACATATGCTCACCAGAGAGAGAGAGAGGGAAAGTGACAACACAAGCCACCAGGTCTGGGACTCCAACTGTGGTCAGCCATGTGGGAGTCCAGAGCCCTTACACCTACTGGCCCAACACCAATATGAACTAATTGATTCCTATTATTCTCCCTGAGCAGCTAGCTATGCTTTTTCTAAGAAGTCAAAAGATATTTAAGAATATGGTTACCACTAGCGTATGCCAGCATAATTTAGGTCATGACCACAGAATTCATAAAAACAAATTTGGGTTCTCCAGGATATCAAGCACCCAACAAGGAACTGACGACGCCGAGACTGTGGAAGGACGAGTGAATGGGGAGCTCAAACACCTGTGCCGAGGTCCCTGCCAATTCCTACTCAAGCAAATCACAAATCCTCTGGCATGGTGCACCCTCATCTACAAGACAGGAAAACTCCGTCTCTGAGATAGTTCCTATGAGAGGTGTGAGAGCAACTGAAAATAAGGCAAAAGAAACTGCTCTATAAACCAGAGTAGAATTTCTTTCTTTTTTTTTTTTTTTTTAACTTTTTTCTCCTCATTTATTTATTTATCTAATTGTCGTGATTTTCAAGCTGCCAGGCCTAGGACTTGAACTATAGCCGGCCATGTGGGAACCAGCGCCTTAACCACCACACCACCTGCTGGCCCCCACAGTAGAATTTTTTAAGAAGCAAGACATTTAAGTATAATAATGATAATGAAATCAACTATAAACCTAGCATTGTTTAAAAATGCCAGCACGAACACAGCACCAAACTCTGATCTGTCTTTATGTGGGTATAGGCGGGACTTGATCCAGAACATGCAGGTTAGTCTTGTAACATACCACATTTATAAACAGAAATCTGGTTACTGGCATCCAGGACGGCGAGGTCGTTACTCTTCTCAGGGTGTGTGGAGAATGTGACTTGATTGACGGGGTGTGGGAGGAGCAGTTGGTAGGTGCACATGGGAGGCGGAACCACGGTCTGCCGGAATACTGTCACCAACACTTTGCCTGCATGTGCAAAAGAAAAAGGAAGGTTAGACACGGGACTGCTCAATTTAAAAAATAAGGCAACTGAACATCACAGCACCTCTAAATAATGGTGGTAGAAAACATACAGTAACAAACACAACTTTCAGCATTCTTCTCATAAATAAGCTTAAACGATGCATGAGGGGAAAATGCCATGGGCTGTCTACATCTGGCTATTGTCACCTCCACCACTAGAGTAACTCCTCTCCTGAACTCGGAGTTTCGGGTGCCAGACACTAAGGCATAAAGACCAACAGGTCAGAGTTACAGTTTTAAACCTCAGCCTGCAACTAAGCCAGACTAAACCGAGGGAAACAGTAACTTCGAAACCCTTAGAGCACTTTCCTATGGGTGCCTTTGGTAACACGGCAGGTCTGATTACGTTCTCCATGCAGAGCGTGATTATAAAATCAGTATTATGACCACTACACAGAACATGATTACGACACTCACGCACATCATGTTATCAGCGATAAGTACACTATCTAACCCAGTGACAACTTTGCTCCCTAATCCTGCCTCCCACCTTAGAACCCCCTCTACTCATTATAAACACAAACCTAGTCCTCATGCTTGACAGATGTCTGATTTGAACTGAACATATCAGAGAGATATAAGAAAGCATTTATATCAGGATACACCACCACAAGTGGAATGAGGCAAGGGTCAGTGTACACTGTGTCTGGGCAAACAGACAAGGCTAACACAGCCAATGCCCTAAGACTCCACTGCTGTCTTCCTCTCTATTCCAGGTCAAAATTTTCACTCTTCAAAAGCCAGAAATGTGTGAAGGCCATGCATATAGAACAGAGACTCAAGGTGGGGAGAAGGAACTATGGTTCTCTGCAGAATATATGTCCCACCTATGAGTATTCCCGTTCAATCAAAAATGAAACAACAATTAAGCATCAGTAAACCAAACACCCAAACAAGCATTCTTCACTGTTCAGGTCAAACCACCACGTTGGCAGGCTCTGGGCTCAGGACCCCTTAAAGGCTTGTGGACACACTTTCTGGCAACTTACTTCCATCAATGACAGCCACATTTGACAAGTCACTCGGATTATCTCCCAAGCTCCGGTCAGTCGTCCAGTGCCAGTCATAGCAGAGGTAATGCCAGCCCTGACAGAGAACATGCAGCCGGTATGGAGTTACCGGGTCCCACAACAGAGACATGATCTTGCTCTTCCCATGGGTGCTGAAGGGGAGGCTTTGCTTGAGATACCAGTGATAGTTTCCAACAGTCCAGAGCTGCACTGCAAGAGAAAAATAAAAGGAAGGCCTTCAGAGGCCAGGGATCAATGTCCTACCACTTGCTAGAGGGGCACAGGGGCAATCTTTTTCTTTTCAAATGACCCTTCCTGCTCAGCCTCTCTAATAATATATAGAACAGTAATTGTTAAAAGAGTTTTATGTGGAGATAAACTTTCAATTATCAATAAGATCAGAAATACACATGTTTACTTTAACCTCTACCTTTATGTTCCTGATGAAGGAATACAAAGACAGTGATTTAATGAGGTTTATTTATTTATTTATTTTATTTTTTTTTTTTTTTGGTGAAGATTTAGGAAAAAGATAGTTTGGTCATTAGATTGAAAATATTAAAACAAGCCAAGATTTGGACTAGTATTGCTATGCTGCTTAAGATGCTTATTTTCTTTTAGGTACTTCACATGCATGCAGTTATGTCAAAGGCTACCTGGTACTGACAATGATTCAGCTGCCCAGGGGAGACTAGCATGTGAAAAACCTCTCCAACCTCTTTTAGAACAAAAAAAATTAATCATGTCCAAATCAACCTTTACTCAAAAAATGACATATAAATTAAGACCTTAGTTATATTAAGTAATTTATTTTCTTACTCTCCCTGCTCGCTAACGTTTAATGCAGTAATCATAATACATACAGCTTCGTTCTCTAACCACACTAGTTCAAAACTTCTGTGTCACCATGAGTTTGTAAATTAGACCTCAGGCTCATGGTCTGGGAGGATAGATGTGGCTGTTCTTTGCAATACTTTTATCCTACGTCTATCACAGTGTCATACTTGGGTCATTAGATTGAAAATATTAAAACAAGCCAAGATTTGGACTAGTATTGCTATGCTGCTTAAGATGCTTATTTTCTTTTAGGTACTTCACATGCATGCAGTTATGTCAAAGGCTACCTGGTACTGACAATGATTCAGCTGCCCAGGGGAGACTAGCATGTGAAAAACCTCTCCAACCTCTTTTAGAACAAAAAAAATTAATCATGTCCAAATCAACCTTTACTCAAAAAATGACATATAAATTAAGACCTTAGTTATATTAAGTAATTTATTTTCTTACTCTCCCTGCTCGCTAACGTTTAATGCAGTAATCATAATACATACAGCTTCGTTCTCTAACCACACTAGTTCAAAAGTTTTGTGTCACCATGAGTTTGTAAATTAGACCTCAAATAGAGCTTCGTTCTCTAACCACACTAGTTTAAAACTTCTGTGTCACCATGAGTTTGTAAATTAGACCTCAGGCTCATGGTCTGGGAGGATAGATGTGGCTGTTCTTTGCAATACTTTTATCCTACGTCTATCACAGTGTCATCCCTTGATACACTGGTTAACAAGTGGTCCTAGGGGCCAGCAGATGACGTAATGGTTACATTGCTGGACTTCCACATGGTCAACTACAGTTTGAGCACCAGACCTAAGCGACTTAAAACTCAAGCCAGGTACATAGATATGCGTGCTCAAAATCCCAAGACGAGAATGGAGGAGAAAGGACTGCATGCAACATGGCCATCTCCCCTGGGAGGTGATTTCTTACTTTCTGTCTCTGCCTTTCTCTCTGTCTCTCCAGTGAGCACATACACCCTATAGCAAAAGTCTCTCTTAGAAAAAAAAAAAAGTGGGTCTCAACTGAGGCCACATGGTAAAATCACTTGGGAGCTTTACTTTATTTATTTTCACATGGGTATGTATAGTCCCCATTCCAACACGCTGAATCTAAGATGAAGCCTGGATATCACCGTTTTGCTTTTTTTTTTCCTAAAGATGCAACCAGAGTTAAGAATCATTGCACTGCATAAATGAATAAATGAGTTTCTTTTTATTATTATGGCAGAAGGCGCATGTGTGTGCATGACAGAGAAAAAGGAGAGAGAGGGAAAAAGAAAAGCACCCCGCAAGAGGGCCTGGTCATGCCACAATCCTTTTTCTTCCAAGAATGACTGAGTTTTTTTTTTTTTCTTTTGTTTTGGAGAGGTTTTTGCTATAGGGCATGTGCGCTCACCAGAAAGACAGAGAGAGATAGAAAGTGAGAAATCACCCCCGACAGGGGATAGCCACGCCGCAATCACTTCTCCTCCATTCTCCTCTCGGGATCTTGGGCACACACACACACATGCACCCAGTGAATTTAAGACGCCGGGTCCAGGACTCGAACCGTGGTCGACTACATGGGAGTCCAGCGACATAGCCACTGCACTAACTGCTGGTCCCATGACTGATTTCTTAATAATGTTCCAGTTAAAAAGGTTAAGCCACTTAGAAAATAACCAAGTAAAAAGATTTATAGGATCAACAGTTGGCATACTCACACTGGGCATGTGTGCGTGCATGCCCAAGATCCCAAGAGGAGAAGGAATTGCGGTGTGGCCATCCCGCCGGGGTGTGTGTGTGCGTGTGTGTGTGAGTGTGTGATTTCTCGCTTTCTGTCTCTGTCTTTCTGGTAAACGTATGTGCCCTACAGCAGAAACCTCTCTCCACACACAAAAAAAAAAAATTTATAAACAAAAATGTTCAGTAAATTGTTGCCAATCATCAGAAATTACATAATTTACATGTCTAACAGCATGATATTTAATAAACTGTGGCACGAAACAATATTACTGTTTAAAATGATGCAGGCATGTGTGTGAAAGGAGATATGCTTCTGATACAGTGTCGAGGCAAGTTACAAAACATCACGTTTCATACCGATACTTTAACAAAAACAGGATCAAAGCTACACTTCTCAAAGAGAATATTGTAACAGTGATTTTTTAAAATAATTGTTTAACTTTATGATGATTATTTTTTAAAGTTTGATCAGAGACAGAGAGAAAAGTGAGAAAGCAACCTGCCAGGTCTGGGATTCAAACTGTGGTTGGCCATGTGGGAGTCCATGCCTTTAACTACCACACTACCTGCCAGCACCTTAATGGTGATAATCGTGAGTGGTAGAACTACGAGTTTTGTTTTTTATTTTCTTTTCCTCTTCTTTATTTTCTAACATTTTCATATATTATTTAATACTTAAAACACAGGTTTATACGTTAAAAAAGATTGTTATATGTACTGAATCTAAATTCGCTCTCATTCCCAGTATTCCTTGGGTGCTTTAATTTTCTATCATAACATCACCCAAGAAGAGAAAAGCACTGATGACTTAGGGTGATTAATTTTATAGGTCAACTTGGGTAGGCTCTGGTGTCCACCTGTCTGGTCAAACATAAGTACAGACATTGCTATGAGGTTATTTTATAGAAGTGATTGACATATACAACTATTTTACCCTGAGGAAAGACAACCATCCTCTATAATGTGGATGTGTCTCACCCAAAAGTCTGAGGGCCTTAAAAGTAAAACCCTAAGTTTCCCAGAGAAGAAATTCTGCCTCACAGCTGTCATGTATAAAAATCTGGCTTGAAGTCCCAGCCTGCCCGTCTGCCCTACACAAGATGGTACCACTGACTCTCATGTGAATTTCTAGACTGTCAGCATATCTTACAAATTTCAGACTTGAACTCTCCTACAAGTACATGAGCCAACTCCTTAAAATAAATCCATCCGTGTCTCTCTTGCTCCTTTTCCCCTACCCCATATAATAACATAAAGATATCTGATCTAGATGCAGAGATACAGATCCCCTTCTGGCTCTGCTTCTCTAGAGTCCCGACTGATACGTAACTGAAAGCCACCAATAATAAAGACCTAACCACTGCCCCATCTCCATCTACCCACCTCAGCTTCTTGGATTCCATTAACAGACTAAGTGAAAGAGAAGAAAATCCCACATTCTTCTAATTTTAGCTATATTTTATGGAGCAGAGGATGAGATAAAATGAGATACCATGGGTTTTCAGAGTGGAATTTTCCTCCCTCTGAAGGTCTTCCAGCCAAACCGCAAGCACGGTGGAATCTGCATTCCAGAGCAACTCATTGACCTGGTAGGCAAAACAGATCTGTCATTGGCCTATGCATTTATTTCTGAATCTTGTAAAAGCTGAATCTCCACTCTCACAAATAATCCCACTGCTTGAGTTGATCCCTAGCTGTAAATTACTAACCTAGAGTCATTAAAAATAATCTGAAGATTGTCATCTGTAGAGACTTTTTTTAAAAATGTATTATGCTTAAAGATTAAAAAGAAACTTAAACATAAGGTGTCATGTTTAGACAATTAGGGGAATATTAGTATGAACTGAGATAATACTAGGGTAACATACAATAATGGAATTATGGTACTGTGAAGAAAGTGTTCTGAACTGTTAGAAATATTCAAAATACGGTGAGCAGCTGCAGCGGCGGAGGCAGCATCCAGCAGCGGAGCCACCTGTTCCAGCCCGTAGCTTTACTTTTTGCTGAACCAACGGTCATTATGCCGAAGAGAAAGTCTCCAGAGAACACAGAGGGCAAAGATGGATCCAAAGTAACTAAACAGGAGCCTACCAGACGATCTGCCAGATTGTCAGCGAAACCTGCGCCACCCAAACCTGAACCTAAACCAAGGAAAACATCCGCTAAGAAAGAACCTGGAAGAAAACAGAGGTGCTAAAGGGAAGAAAGAGGAAAAGCAGGAAGCTGGAAAGGAAGGCACAGAAAACTGAATCAGTAGGTAACGAGGGAGAATGAATTGTCATGAAAAATTGGGGTTGGGACAACTTTTAAAAGCTATTTTTACCAAGTATTTTGTAAATGCTAATTTTTTAGGACTGTACTAGTTGGTATACAAAAATATATGACATTTTACCCTCTCGTAATCAATGCTTTTTGGAAATTTCCATCATCCTCAAGTAAAATAAATACCAATTTATTGTTGGGGAAAAAAAGAGAAAGAAATATTCAAAATATGATTTCCAGAATTAAAACTCCAGAAAATGAAAATCTTGTGTGTCTCTATAGATGAAAATAATTTTGCAAAATGTTGTTATCTGTTGAAAGTGAGTAATAAGTACATAGGAGTTCATTAAACTCTCAACGTCTAGAATATTCAAAATTTTACATATTGAAGATTACCATTTGGTATGTTTCCACTTCAGTAAGGATTTTAACAGTACACAAGCTGCCTAAAACTAAGATGTTAGGGGCCAGTAGGTGGCACAGTGGTTAAAGGTGCTAAACTCCCACATGGCCTACCAGAGTTCATTTCCTGGATTTTTTGGCTTGCTTTCTCACTACCCCTCACCCCCTGTCTCTCTGTGGTGAGCACACATGCCCAACAGCAATCTTAAAAAAAAAAAAAAATTTAAAGAAAAAAAAATTCAAATGTGAGAGGACTGACCCCATAGCCTAATGGTTAAGGGAGCTAGATCCCACATGACCAACCGCAGTTCAAATCCCAGTCCTAACAGCTTGAAAAACACACCAGACACATGTGCATGTGTGCCTCAAATCCCAACAAGATGGAAGAAATGGAGAAGGGACTGCAGTGTGACTATCCTCCACTGGGGAGTGATTTCTTTCTCTCCTTCCCTGTCTCTGGCAAGCACATGTGCCCTCTATCAATTAAAAAATAAAATCTTAAATGTTATAAATAAAAATTATTTTTGTCAATGGAAAAATGATGCTTTGGGATAAGAATAAACATTTTATCTAAGGTGGGGAGGACTTTTGCAAAATCTCTGTGAAGAAACAATTTCTCATTTACTAAAAAAATTAATTAGAAGAAGCCGCGTGCCATTACCATGCACTCTGGAGCTTCTATTTACACATTAATATCAAATGTATCATCTTCCACTAAAGCTGTGGAAAGTGCACTAAATTCAATGGCGAAACAAATGAGGCACCTACCTTAACCTCATCTTTGAGGAAAGGAAGTGTAAACTGTCCATGAAGAAGTCCATTTTTCTCAAAAAACACAACATCCTGCTGGTTGGGTTTATCTTGTGTAGATGCAATCAAACTGCCTGAGGGCCTTAAAGCAAACCCAGAATGTTAGTACCCCCAAAATCTCATGTGGCTGGTTTGAGAACAAGATGAAATTCAGGTTTTAGAGATTTTCTGCCCAACAAAAATAAATAAAAGTGTTTTTAAAAAATTTCATCCAGGGGCCAGCAGATGGCATGGTGGTTAAGGTGCTGCACACTCCCACGTGGCAAACTACAGTTCGAGTCCCAGACCTAGTGGCTTGCTTTCTCACTTTCCCTCTCTCTCTCTGTCTCTCTCTCTGGTGTAATTAAAATGAATGAATGAATAAATGAAATTAAATAGTTTTTAAAAATGTAACCCAAGGAAGTTTTAAGTCCTTCAGGTCCCTAGTCTCTTAGCAAGCAGTCTACTCTACTATGGCACCCCACCTATCCAGAGCGCCTTTCCCTAATTTGCGCAAAGGCGCCGAGTGCCCATAAAGCCTTATGGATTTATATTGCACTTGGATGGCTTTAGAAACCCCAGTAAACTGGCCTGGTTGTGGTGGTACAATGTGCTCTGAAAGCTAGAATCATAAAAGAGGCCTGGGTTCAGTTCTCCATCTAAAAAGCCAGGCACAGTAGCAAGCACCTGGATGCCCAGTAATTCAGGAGACTGAGGCGGAATGGTCACAACAGCAAGACCCTATCTTAAACATGACAAATAATCTAAATAATTCTAAGTCTAATGTCCTAAAAATTATAACCTGTTTCTTCTCCAATTATAAAACTTCAGTAAATACTCCATGCTCGGGCAGGTACTTTTTAACTTTTTAATCTACTAAAAACACCTCAAATGCCTCATTTTATTTGTATTTATCTCTAGAGTTTTAATTCAATTACATTTCTCTCTTGCTGTAAACAAGATGCGTAAAAACTAAAGATCTAATGGTTGTGCATATAACAGATGCTACTGAGGCAGAGCCGCCACGTACAACCTGCATGTGTGTACTGGGCCAAGGGGTGAGCGGGAGGGGCCTAAATTCAGCCTGTGTTTTCCTCAGCAAGCACACGCCCCTGCTGTGGGAGTCTGTGCAGAGGAGAATAATCTCCAGCTGCCCCACAGAGGCCTGTAGACTGAAACTTCCCTTCTAAGCAACATTTTCTGCTTTATACAATGGCTTCACATAGGCCTTGTCAATGGCCATAACCTTTCAAGGATTAAGAATGAAAATGTGTGGGGCCCTGGAATTAATTCTGTGAAGAAGCTCGGGATACACTATTCAAACTGAATTCAGAATAAAGAAAACTAAAAAAAAAATTTTTAAATACAGACATACACTTAAATGAAGAAGAAAAGCATTCTTTTTTCTGTTAGACAAGCAACAATATTCAGTGGGTACCACCACCCCTACCCTGGTTCCAAGAACTCCTCTGAGAAAGAAATTCCAAGGTTTCTTCTGCCACTCACTTCCAAGCTAGGGCTGGTCCCAGTCCTGCCACGGGCTCACTAGTCGACTGCAAAGCAAACTCGCGATTCCACACCCTGACCTTCCGAGCCCCTGTGCAGTAAGTGGAGTCAAATAAACACACTTCAAACATTGAAAATGCTGTCAGGTCAGAAACTTTTAAACATCTTCCTTATAAATAAAATCTGCTATGGTTTTACACAACCAATTAGATTAATATTGTTAAAAATGCATGTCCTCGGGTGAGAGATGTTATTAATGGCCTCATAATTCTTACTCTAAGCTCATTTTACATCTAAAGCAGTACATCTTTTCCTACATGTGTAATCAATACCCCATTCAAAACAAAACAAAACAAAATTCCTAAAATGCAGTAAGATATAAAAAAAGGTTGTTGTTTTGGTTTTTTTTGTTGTTGTTGTTGTTTTGTTTTTTGTCAAAGGGCGGGCGCCACCCCGCCCAAAAAAGTTGTTTTGTTTTTTTTAAACAGCAATTTATATCCATACCTGTTTCTGGGCAAACAACACTCACAGCAAAAAACTGTCCATCCCCACGCCAGGTAACTCGTGGTCTATGGTCATCCCAGGGCAAAGCAGACTCGTACTAATGAAAGGAAGAGACACTACTGTTACCGGCGACCTTATATGGCCCGCATCAAGGACGCCTCAAGCCGTTTTCTACACATCTTTTATGAGGTCTGGGCTGTCTAGAAAACAAGCTTTATAGAGTTCATAGAAACTCTTCAAAAAGGCTATTAGGACTTTTAAGAGCAAAGAAATTGATAAAAATCATTTCTTTCTTTTTTTTGAGAGAGCTTTTTGCTATAAGGCACGTAATTGCTGAAAAGACAGACAGAAAACGAGAAATCACCCCCTGGGGGGATGGCCATAATCAATTGGTCACCGCAATCCCTTTTCCTCCATTTTCCTCTTGGGATTTTGGGCATGCATGTACACACACCTGGTGCAAGTTTCAGGCCACCGAGTCCAGGACTCAAACCATGGTCAGCCATATGGGAGTCCAGCAACAAAACCATTATGCCATCTGCTGGTCATAATAAAAAATCTTTTTTTGGCAATTAAAAGAAACAAATGTCCCCTGAGCACAGAACAAAGAAAAAGAACCACAGGTCTATGATGTTTTCTTTTTTAAACGAAGTGATGAATATTGGTTATAAATATTAGCTATACTGAAAATAAATCACAATGCAACTTGGCAATAAAAAGGGAAAAAAGGACCTTTCTAGGGTAACTCATTTCCCGAGGTCCCTAAAGAGGTTTACTAGAGCAGAAGAGACCCGTTCATTGCTGGTCTCTAAGTGGACACCTCAGCATTGCTGGTGGGTGGCAGAACTTCCACCAGTTCAAGCCAGACTTCTTTATCCATCAAACCAGCCTTACTGTTTGCATCTGAAAGGCCGCTTGCCTGCCTTCTGATCCATGGAACTGTGTTTCTTTCTTGCCCCATCCAACAGTGATGAACTTGCCTAGAGAACAATGTAGAAAATGTAAGACAAATAAGCTAAATAAAGCAATTTTATTGCTATTCTTCACAAAGTTAGGCACTGACATGACTTGGGTCCTTTAAGATGGCTCAATAAATTGACCAAAGGTCAATATTTTTAAAACACCTGTATTCCACAATACTTCTGAAATTCTGAAGAACTTCAAAGACCTCTACTTTCCCATAAAATGCAGATCTGAATCTAATCAACAGAAACAAAACTCAGCCTTCTATCCCATCTCTCGTTTTCTTCTCCCCAAAATTGTACCCCAGAAGTGCCCCCCTATTTCTAGCTTATACAGTCTCTTTCACTAAAATGCCAGCCGAAGCCTTTCCTAGAGTTTGGGCAGGAGCCATCTATGTGAGTTTAAGCACAAATTTGTATTTCCTAGTTCACTGACAAGGCCAACCCTCAGAACTAGAGAGGCCCCAGAGGTATGTCTTTTTACGATCTGATATGGGCTCAGACATTTAGTAAATGGGATTTAAGCTTCACAGTTCTTTAGGCTTATGATGTGGTTATTAGAGGACAAGAAAATTATCAAAACTGAGAAGGAATAAACAATGTTTCAAAGCTATACTCACTTTCACCAAAATCATCCTGGTGGATTTGCTGTTCCATGATTGGTTCAAAGTCTTTTGTCATCATAATTAGAGTCTGTTCACCTTAGAAGGATACAAACAAGAATGATTTTGATTTTATGCAACGAAATGATCATTCCATAAATTGCTATGGTACTGAAAGCTACAGAGCTGCAGTGGAAGAATTACAGTCAGGGTAGGATAA